CTCAAAAGAGCTGAGAGTTCTCGATTATTGTTTTGTTTAATCCAGGCAGCAGAAGGACAAGGCAACTCCATAGCAGAGGGTGCTTTTGTTTTGTTCGATCGCGTAAATATAAATGTGTCGTTAGCTGTGTCGGGTGGTTGCGGGTTTAACGACACATTTATATTTACGCGATCTAACCCCAACCCCCCCTCTATTATAGATAATATTGGTCGCGAAAGCCTCCTACGTGTTCAACGGGACAAGGCAACTGTTTAGGGGTTTCACACTTATTACGATTCGTCAGCACTGCGTGAAGCCCATCGTTGTCCACGGCCACCCGTTGTGCCCATAGGGAATTGGCGGTGGTGATCGGAACCCGCACCCCGCTCACTCTACACGGTGGGGGAAACCACGCGTCACGGGCTGATGGAGAAACAATACAAGATTCAAGTACTTTGGCTGAAGAGGCAATTCATCAGCGAGCCAAAAAAACAAACTCAACGACATTTACACGCGCGCACACACATACACACACACACACGTATAGTACATTGTGCTTGACTCACAATCACGAGGTTACGACTTCAAATCCCTGGTCCGGGCTCAAATTCAAGGCTTCTCATCTTTTCGGCGTCGGTGAAAAATTGGAAACCACTTTTCGGGAACCCAACAACAGCGGTTTGTCGTGCGGATTGACCGGCCCCCTAGAAAAGTTGGGGAACTTCCCACACTGCTCCAGGGCCACTGCTAGACAATGAATGCTGCCTCATTACGAATTTGTAACGGAGAGACACCGGTCTGACTTTTTGACCGCTGACAACGATGGGCTGCTCACGAAAAAAGTATCCACGAGAATTCGGTGCGAACGCCGGCGGAGCAAGCGAACTCTGCCTCGTTGCTCATTTCGGCGGAGGGAGATGCGTCCGAATCACGTTTCCCTCCGCCCCTGGAAACATCGTGCTAAAGATATTGATTCGTAATCATAACGTCAACGTGTACATGCGCTGCTGCGGAGGCCCCAGGAGGATGAACAACAGCCGAGCGGGAGAGGCAACAGCCATGCGGTGCGCCGACATCAACTCCCCGCCTACCCCCCCCCCCTTCCTCCACCAAGCTCTGCGGACCTCTATATATTAAGATGCTATTGGCCAATTAATGTCTAGATATTATTTGTTGCACACAGCGACGCCTAAGGTCAGACTGTTAACCAATTTTTTAAATTAATACCCACCTCTCCCCCTCCCCCCAACCTGACTTTACTCAATTTGCGTTCGCTATTCGGCGAATCGCTGCAAGATGTCGTGTTTACATAGTAGCGAGATGTGCGCAATTAACCCATTAAGTAAGCAAGCCGCGGCGCTACGGCTGCGACGACAAAGCGACAATTAAGGGTCTGACGGGTCATCACCGCTGCGCATCCCACGCGACGTAACGAGGGCTTCGTTTGCATCAGCCGTAGCCGCCCGAACTCCGAGGGAAAATATTCCCCCCGCCAATAACATGCGCGGAGACCACGGCCCCCGGTTGCGCAACGGCCCGCAACCGGTTGCAAAGTCGTCCGTTGCACGCAACCGAATTGCGCAACCGATCGCCGCCGAGATGTTGGGGCGACCGGGCTTAACGAACAACAAAAAACACTCAACACATTTGTCACGAACACTGCCCTAAAAGGAAAACGTGTATATATGTATGTGTTATAATGAATATCCCTTGTCTCAGAGCGGGGCAATGTGTTGTGCTTCGTGTACCACCGACAACGCGGCGCTCACGATGCGTTGTTCTCGTTCAATTGACCGTGTTGTTTTTGTGTAAAATATCGACGGCGATCGCGGGATAAGAGAGCATCTTTTTCGCGTTCTCTGCAGCGAGTGGTTTACGCAGAAATATCGGTGGCGAAATAACGTCGTATTTTTTAAAGTGTTTGATTTTCTTCCGACTATAATATAGCATTTAAATAAGCAATCTGTTAATAAGTCGTAATGAATTGCAAGTCTTGTTCTGCTAAAAGATACTCGATTGCTAATGGCAACATTGACATTCAGGCACGCATCCCACACACGTAATATGACTCTGTCATCCCCCTATCTACATCAGCTCACACCTCCCGTAAACCACGTGACTTCTTTGTGCCCCCCACCGACTACCCCCCCCCCACCACTCTGAATATCCTCCCAACTCTCCACCCACTGTGAAAACAGAGGCCATTCGTTTTGCCTCGCACGGTCACACCCAGGCGATGTATCGTGACTTCCTCTTTGCCTAATCACATCACAGAGGTCGCAAACGGGTTTTGATTCCTTACCCGTACCCGGCCGCACTAGGGTCGCAAACGGGTACCCGTACCCGGCCGTACCCGTACCCTACCCGTACCCAGCCGGGTACGGGTAGAGTACGGGTATCGGGTACCTGATTGCGACCTCTGGGATGAAGCCATGTTGCAGGCGCGGGTGGGTGACTGCAGGGATTCATATTCTTGGTTCTTTCGGTAAAGTCACTTAGAAGGTAAATAATAAAATAATAAGAATAAAACGTATAAAATTTGATTTAAAGCTTTCGTGACTGCAGGGATTCACATTCTTGGTTCTTTCGGTAAAGCCACGTAGAAGGGAAATAAAAAAATAAATTAAATAAAACATTATAAAATTTCGATTTAAAGCTTTTGTGACTGCAGGGATTCACATTCTTGGTTCCTTCGGTAAAGCCACGTAGAAGGGAAATAATACAATAATATAAATATAAAAAACAATACAAATGATTACGACATTTCGACTGCAACACAAGCAATCATCATCAGGTGTGAGACACGGACAGTGAATGGAAACGAAACGCGATTGGTAAAAACGTACGTTTGTTGTTTGTTTGTTTGGGGTCAGGCCGCCTAATGAACGGGCCGTGTTTGCGCTGTGAAACCCTCCACCACCCGGCGCAGGCGAAAGGCGTCACGAGTGTCCGGTGCGTGGTGAGTCGGGAGGACGCGGCTCGCCGCTGGGGTTCGACTCGATTCGATACGCGACGCTTTGCCCGAAACTGCGTCAAGCATCCTAGATTTGAAGCTTTCGTGACTGCAAGGATTCATATTCTTAGGTTTTTTCGGTAAAGTCACGTAGGTAAAAATTTAAAATTTGTAAAATAATAATAAAATAAAAATCACGACGTTTTTCTTACTTGATACAGCTATCGTGCTGTGACGGTTCCAGCTGAAGACGGAGGCTTGTGTTGCCTCCAAAACGTCGTGATTTTTATTTTATTTTTTATTTTACTTTTATTAATTTTAATTTTTTACCTACGGGACTTTACCGAAAAAACCTAAGAATATGCGTCAAGCATCCTCATGCGAGATGCCAAGGGGGCATCGGACTAACGTCGGGTTGCGAAAAGCGACGTTGCAGACAAACAATTATAGGGACAATTATCGACGATATAATTGCGGTGAGGCAGTTGAATTGTTTAAATATCGCCGTTCGACGGCACGACCATCAACATATCCGCCCGGAGCTAATTGACCGCCCACAACGCAGCCAAGTATTTGTGCACAGATTAAATTAATGGAGGTGGGGGGGGAGGAAATAAACCGATAAAACAATGTTTAGGCATACTCTCTGGTTCTTTCGGTAAAGTCACGTAGTTAGAAATAAAACAAATCACGACGTTTCGATCGCAACACAAGCGGTCATCATGAGGCAAAGGAGTCAGCCTCTAAAGGCAAACTGTTTGTAAGGGTTTGTGGATAAGCTTAGCCCAAGTGTATCAACAACACCAGGAGTACGGGCGGTGCATGAGTGCCAATGCAGCAACAATGCCAATGCAGCAACAATGCCAATGCAGCAACAATGCCAATGCAGCAACAATGTCAATGCAACAACAATGCCAATGCAGCAACAATGCCAATGCAGCAACAATGCCAATGCAGCAGCAATGCCAATGCAGCAACAATGCCAATGCAGCAACAATGTCCAATGCAACAACAATGGCAATGCAGCAACAATTCCAATGCAGCAACAATGCCAATGAAGCAACAATGCCAATGCAGCAACAATGCCAATGCAGCAACAATGCCAATGCAGCAACAAGGTCAATGCAGCAACAATGCCAATGCAGCAACAATGCCAATGCAGCAACAATGCCAATGAAGCAACAATGCCAATGCAGCAACAATGACAATGCAGCAACAATGCCAAACGCTGGGGATGCGGGGGGAAATTAACTCGGAAAAATAGACTAGTACCCGGCAGACATGATGGAACAACCATAAACAGTGAAGGTTTCACCTGGTTAATAACAGCTTCAAATCACGAATGTTTAGGCATTGAGGCCACAAAACCCCCACCACCACTGCCACCACCACCCCCACCACCACCGCCACCACCACCCCCGCCACCACCGCCACCACCACCACCGCCACCGCCGCCACCACCACTACCCCCACCACCACCACCACCGCCCCCACCACCACCGCCACCACCACCACTACCCCCACCACCACCGCCGCCACCACTACCACCACCGCCACCACCACCACCCCCACCACCACAACCGCCACCACCACCCCCACCACCACCGCCACTACCACCACCGCCGCAGCGCGTGGGTCCATCGGAGCGCCGCGGCCCCCCTTCGGACGCGAGCGGCGCCGAAGTAACAAAACAAAAAGCAAAGACACGAACCCGCCGCCCGCAACGTCATCCACCGCTCGATGGTGGCGAGCGGCACGCGCGAGGCGACACCCCCGAAGCGTCGATTGATCGCTCGCGCGCGCTCACGACGACGAGGAGCTACGGCCCCCAGCCCCCCCGCCCCATCGCCGTCATCGGCGTCGTCTGCGTAAAAACGTTCAAGCGCCCAGATGAATTTCTCCGCGTCTCAGCGGCGAATGAGCACAATTCCCCGAAGCGATCGCCACGACTACAATTTGTGACTTCATTTCGCGTTTTCTCAACGGCGAATTCCTGAAACGAACGAATTTTCTACTCCCCCCCCCCCCCCGCCTGCCCCGCCCGCCCGCCCCCCGAGAATTTTTCAGGTTTTGTTGCAAACGTTCAGGCCTCTCTCCTCGTTAATCTTTTGTACATCTTCCATTGAAGACAAACGTGTGGCACACTCCGCACGGAGCTCTGCTCGGATGAAAGAAGAGAGCATCTATGATACACAACACACACAACACATGCACGCGGGAACGCCACCGACACTGCAGACCAGGATCACTGTCATCAACCCCGTGAAAGGGTTTTGCTCCGTGTCTATGCAGTGCGTTAGACGCAAATAAATTACCTTGAATGCTATGACATATATATATCTCATGGTGCGTACGTGTTTAAAGTACTGTACGTATGGTACATAACTTCAGAGGATGTGGATTTTACATTTAATAGAGGAATTGTCAACTTATGGAGGATTTACCTTCCATGAACTCAGCAGTTGCATGACACCAGGGAATGGTTCTTGTTTATCGGAAATAATATCATCCTTATTGAGTTTCAAGACTCGTTTTTTCAGGAGGGTCCTGCCAGGTTTTCGCTGCGCGGGATGGACGATGCTACTCAGTGTGATGCCCAAATGAGTAATGTGCAGGTCATTTGTAAGCCTTGGGGTATTTGCCAAATACCAATTACAATGTTTGTCTTTCATTTTTTACAGCTATGGAAGAGAAACCCGAGAATCCGGAGGAACCCCACACACAACAGTGAGAGAATGTACAAACTCCACACACACTCACTCTCACACTCACTCACACACTCTGCAGGACAGGCAAATAACACGCTAACTTCACACTCACACACTCACTCATACACACACTCACACACTCACTCACACACTCTGCAAGACAGGCAAATAACATGCTAACTTCACACTCACACACTCACTCATACACACACTCACACACTCACTCACACACTCTGCAAGACAGGCAAATAACATGCTAACTTCACACTCACACACTCACTCATACACACACTCACACACTCACTCACACACTCTGCAAGACAGGCAAATAACATGCTAACTTCACACTCACACACTCACTCATACACACACTCACACACTCACTCACACACTCTGCAAGACAGGCAAATAACATGCTAACTTCACACTCACACACTCACTCACACACTCTGCAGGACAGGTAAATAACATGCTAACTTCACACTCACACACTCACTCATACACACACTCACACACTCACTCACACACTCTGCAAGACAGGCAAATAACATGCTAACTTCACACTCACACACTCACTCATACACACACTCACACACTCACTCACACACTCTGCAAGACAGGCAAATAACATGCTAACTTCACACTCACACACTCACTCATACACACACTCACACACTCACTCACACACTCTGCAAGACAGGCAAATAACATGCTAACTTCACACTCACACACTCACTCACACGCTCTGCAGGACAGGTACATAACATGCTAACTTCACACTCACACACTCACTCATACACACACTCACTCACACACTCTGCAAGACAGGCAAATAACATGCTAACTTCACACTCACACACTCACTCACACGCTCTGCAGGACAGGTAAATAACATGCTAACTCTACACTCACACACTCACTCATACACACACTCTCACACTCACTCACACACTCTGCAGGACAGGCAAATAACACGCTGGATCCACACTCTCACACTCACTCACACGCTCTGCAGGACAGGTAAATAACACGCTAGATCCACACTCACTCACACTCACTCTGCAGGACAGGTAAATAACACACTAACTCCACACTCTCACACTCACTCACTCTGTAGGACAGGTAAATAACACACTAACTCCACACTCTCACACTCACTCACTCTCTGTAGGACAGGTAAATAACACACTAACTCCACACTCTCACACTCACTCACTCTCTGTAGGACAGGTAAATAACACACTAACTCCACACTCACACACTCACTCACTCTCTGTAGGACAGGTAAATAACACACTAACTCCACACTCACACACTCACTCACTCTCTGTAGGACAGGTAAATAACACACTAACTCCACACTCACACACTCACTCACTCTCTGTAGGACAGGTAAATAACACACTAACTCCACACTCACACACTCACTCACTCTCTGTAGGACAGGTAAATAACAGACTAACTCCACACTCACACACTCACTCACTCTCTGTAGGACAGGTAAATAACACACTAACTCCACACTCACACACTCACTCACTCTCTGTAGGACAGGTAAATAACACACTAACTCCACACTCACACACTCACTCACTCTCTGTAGGACAGGTAAATAACACACTAACTCCACACTCACACACTCACTCACTCTCTGTAGGACAGGTAAATAACAGACTAACTCCACACTCACACACTCACTCACTCTCTGTAGGACAGGTAAATAACACACTAACTCCACACTCACACACTCACTCACTCTCTGTAGGACAGGTAAATAACACACTAACTCCACACTCACACACTCACTCACTCTCTGTAGGACAGGTAAATAACACACTAACTCCACACTCACACACTCACACTCTCTGCAGGACAGGAAAATAACACGCTAGATCCACACTCACTCACACTCACTCTGCAGGACAGGTAAATAACACACTGGATCCACACTCACTCACACTCACTCACACACTCTGCAGGACAGGTAAATAGGAGATGTTAACAACCTCGCTTGGTGTACAGGAGGTTGTGGGTTCGAACCCTACCCTGCCGCCTGCCGCTGTATATTTGGAGTTTGCGTGCCGTTTCCCTCTCACCCGTGGTCGCGTCGATTTTTCTCCGGCTCCACTGGTTCCCCCCCCCCATCTCATCTACATTGAGAATCAACGTCACGCGTTTAGAGTGTTTGGCGACTGCTATGAATTTGCCACGTGATGTCGGTAAGCTTCTTCGTCATCCGTGATGGCCAAGTCGCTTCTAAACTACGCTATCATACAGGGAGCTTCAAAAAATGCGAACACTTATACGGGACTCTCGTGTTTAATGGCAAACTAACGGATAATACTACGCTGTAACATATGATGACAAATGTAACGTTAATAGCTTCAAAAAGTCAACGAGTCTCCCCTTGTCAACGCGTGCCTGGAATCTTCTCCAGGTGGTCTCCAGAGCTCGGAGGAGGCAGATTTTTCGCGTGTTATTGTAGCAAATTCTCAGAAGCGTTAAAAAAAAAATTGTGCAGCACCCTGTTAAAGGAGTAGCCAAGTGGGGCCTTAACCCGGTAAACAAAAACAAACATTTTTTATATTCTTGGTTCTTTCGGTAAAGTCACGTAGAAGGGAAATAATAAAATAATACAAATATAAAACAATAAAAATGCAATCAATGATTGCAATCAATGATTGCTTGTGTTGCAGTCGAAACGTCGTGAGAATTTTTATTGTTTTATATTTTTATTATTTTATTATTTCCCTTCTACGTGACTTTACCGAAAGAACCAAGAATATGAATCCCTGCAGTCACGAAAGCTTTAAATCGAAATCAAACTTTTTTAGTTTCATGGTTTAGGGTGACGGTCAGTAGGGGAGTCTCCCGGCTCCACGCGGCTCCACGCGGCTCCAGGGGTTGTCTGTGAGGCACGGCAACCACGCACTGGTTCGTTCGCTCGCCACCTACGAGAATCGACCGGGTCGCATGGTCCCAGATCGCGAGGCCATCCCAGAAATCAATGAATCCCGTTTCGTAGCGTCGCACTCGCGGCCGCTTGTTCTGTATCGTCTGGCTCATTGTCTATTGTCTGTCTATTGTCTATTGTCTCATTGTCTGTCTCTTGTCTATTGTCTGTCTATTGTCTCTTTGTCTATTGTCTCATTGTCCCATTGTCTATTGTCTCATTGTCTCATTGTCCCATTGTCTACTGTCTGTCTATTGTCTCATTGTCTGTCTTGTCTATTGTCTGTCTATTGTCTGTTCTGATTGTTCTGGCTCGATGTTAGTTGTCTCACGTGCTGTACTTTGTTCGGTCTCGCTCCTACTGTCTCATTTGTTCGATCTCGTTTGGCGCTGTTGGGCTCGTGGGCTTTGTCTCTCGTTCCCGTCAGCCGTCTCCATTTGTGTTGTCCGTGTCATCTTGCGTAAATAACTTGTATACGTTTATATTGTTCAGATCTGGTTTCCACGCTTCCCTGTTTGCACCTTCTCATTCGTCTCTTGCATCTGCACGCTGTCCCGTCGAATCATTTGTGCCCCTCACTCGTACGGATTCCCCCTCGTCTCGTATCGAGTTACGTCACGTGGGTCCTTTCTCGGTTTTTCTTTTCCCTTCCCGTCTCCTTTGTAGCTTTGTTCACTCGAATTGGCATCAACACATCGTGCGGATCTCATGTTGCGCGTCATCTCCCACGCATCATTTGAGCGGTGAAATGTGATTGCTTTCGGAGGGGGGGGAGGAGGGGGGTGATGCGGCCGAGCGCCGCTTTGTTGTCACGGAGGCTCGCGGTGCGAACCCGGCGGCCGCCCCGGTTAGTACTTGCGGTGCGCGGATCGTGAACAGCAAAACAAGAAAGCGCCGCCTGCTTGACAGCGGGACGTTACGGATCCCGTGAGTGGGCCACGTGTTGCCGGCGTCACGGTTCCACCGTTTTTGCCGAAATCTGTAAAACGACACCCCCCTTGGTACTTTCACAACGGGGATGGGGGGAGGTGGGGGGGGGGCAGGAGCCACACCGCGACATCGTCGTCGTCGCGACATCGCCCCCCGAATGCCAAACAACCGCAGGCTATACCCGTCCGTGAGACGCGGCGTGATTAGCCCTGCGCTGCGAGAATGGCGCCGACTCCGAATCGTAACGGCGGATGATGACGATTTGAACCTCGACGCGTTTGCCTGTAGGAGAAACCCGCTCCCCCTCCCTTTCCTTAGGATGAGACCCAAACTTCCCGCTCCGGATTGCTTTTTGACCGACTGTGTCCGCAGCTCCCGCAAAACAACCTTCCGTGTCTTCTTGGTTCTTTCGGTAAAGTCACGTAGAAGGGAAGTAATAAAATAATAAAAATAAAACATAATAAAATAATTCTCGCGACGTTTCGGCCACAACGCAAGCAGCCGTCCTCAGGTGAAGACCAGGTCTGTCGGGGAGACAGCGTCTACGTGACTTTACCGAAAGAACCAAGAAGATGAATCCCTGCAGTCATGAAAGCTTTAAATCGAAATGTAACTTTCCGTGTGTCCTCCACCGGCTTGCTCCACGGGCCTCCTCAGCATCCTCGTCCACCATCTCCGTGTCCTCCCTCCTTTCTCTCAACGTCCAACTCCAGCTGCTGGACGTTCCTCTTCAACTTTCTACTCTCATCTCCTCCTCCCTGGCCCCTTCTGCCTTCCCGGCATCTCCTCCGCCGTCCGTTTCCCTCTGCGTCTTCCCCGATCTTACGAAACCCTACGGCGTGGGCACAGCGGCGGCCGCGTCGTTCGCCGCTCGTTTGCGGAGGCTCGCGGCTTGTATGCGACAGGCCACCCTGGTTATTGCTGCGGGCGTATGAACCGTTAAAAACAATTAAAAAAAATCATACTAATAATAATTTTAAAAAGTTACATTAAAAAAACACGCGCCACATGCTGCACTCATAGCGGCCGTTCAAAGATCCACGCGGCGTCGTTCCGAAGAGAGTATGACTCGTTGTAGGTTTTTACCCTTTCAACTGGTACAAAACTGACACCTTTATACAAGGCATCATGTTTGCAATAACCACAACACAAGCAGTCAAAATGCAAACAAAAAGAAACAACTCTGATAATGGTAATGATATGCACTGTCCTTGAAGGTGATTGGTCCACACCCGAGACATCTAAGGAAAGCTGTCTCGAGTGTGGACCAATCAACTTCAAGGACAGTGCATATCATTACCATTATCAGAGTTTTTTCTTTTTTTGACTGCTTGTGTTGTGGTTATTGCAAACAAGATGCCTTGTATAAAGGTGTCAGTTTTTGTACCAGTTTAAAGGGTAAAAACCTACTAATATATTTTGCCACTGGTAAAGGAGGTCTCATAGTATATAAGAGTATGACTCGTTTGAGACTACGCACACGAACACACGCACACACACACACGGCAGCGTCGCTCTCTTGCCGTGAAACTCTGCCCGCGAATCACGGCGCCTTCGCGAGAGCCTTGTGCTATAAGAGCGGCGTGAATACCGACCGCTCTGAATCGTTATCGAAGCAGGGTGCCTTCGTTTTCGTCACCTGCGTCTGCTGCTAGTCATCATGTACCACCGCCTCTACGTAAATTTCAGATTGTTAATTTTGGTCTCGTTTCCCGAATGTTATCCTGGTTGTGCCATCGGCGCCACGCGACGAAGAATACATTCGCAACCCTCCGCAGAGCAGAGAGGGCCCATCGCTCCGCGTGTCACAGAGCGGCCCGCGGAAGGCGATATCGGCGGACCTACTTCCGAGGTCCGTCGATCAAGTGACCTCTCATCCACTTGTCCCACGCGCCTCGCTCTCAGGGGTGTTCATCGCGTGGCCGGACCAAAACTAAAAAAAGGAAAATTCTCAGAGTATTTGCCCAAATTAAGCGATGCGGATTCAACATTTTCTTTTTTACATTCACCGGCGAGCGAGCGAGCGTGCTGAGGCCAAGTCAAGCTGCCGCACTTGCGAACCCGGATTAACGGCAGGCAGTGGCTGAGACCTGGATTGGAACCCAGGATATCTCAGCAGGTGCCGGGCTCCACGTCTACGGCTCAAGAGCCTCCTCCTGGCCTCCTCCCCCCATCCCATATCCTCCATCGATGCTGTCCACATCTCTGGCTACACCGCCCCCCACCCCCAACCCCCCACCGTCCTCATCTTCTCGTCGATTTCACGTCCCCCCCCCCCCCGCCACCTTCGCGACTTCTCTCCCTCTTGTTCCTTCACCCTTGTTCTCATTCTCTCCCCTCCCACCTTCCTGGCCACCACAGAGTCTCTCCCTGTCCCCCCCATCTCCCCGCTGCCCCCCTTTCATTCCTCCACCATCTCTTCTTTTGTTTTCTCGTCGCTCCCACCGCCACCCTCTTCATGTCCTGCTCTTCCCCACCGCAACCGAAAGTAAATAAAACGACGGTGCCGATTAATTCGACCGTGTGTTTTGTTGTTGTTGTTGTTGTCCCGTTTCAAACGTGTGGTCTGTGTGTTTAAATGTCGGCGGTTGATTGACGTTACGCTGATTCGTCGGCACGCCGCTCCCCTGCCTGGATCCTTGGTCGCGCCGCGCGTCCGAGAGCCGCTCACCTGCGAAGTGAATCAGCACGCACGCAGACACAGATCCCCCGTGTAGCCTTCAACAGTGCTGTTAGCGAGCACCTATGGAGGGCGGCACGGCACACGATGGGGGTGGGTGGGCCAGCAACCACGCCTGGCCGCCTTTGTCTCCCCAGTAGCGATGTTTACTACACACCGCACCGGGTACTCATCATTTGAGGCTGAGTCGATCTAGGGGAGGCCCAGGACCGGTTCAGATAATCGTCACCGGTGTTTGCCGTGAGCGGGAATCGAACCCGGGTCGCCAGGTTCGTAGCGCAGCACGCTAACCGCTATACACCACCGCTCCTCACAACACACAGACACACGCACTCACATATGCACACACAAAAGACCAAGATCCCCCCCTATAGCCTGAACAGACTGTCGGGGCAAGTGCTTTGAGTGAGCACCTATACTCTTTGGTTCTTCCGGTAAAATTAAATAAACCATTTTATTTTCTACCCACGTGACTTTACCGAAAGAACCAAAGAGTATGGATTCCTGCAGTCACGGAAGCTTCAAATCCAGACTGAGCGAGCGCCTATCAATCAAGGTGGGCACGACACACGAGTGTGTGTGTGTCCAGCACCACGCACGCGCACGCGGACACACGCGCCAAGGTCGCCATCTCCCGGCTTGCCAGGGTAGGGCAAGCCAGCCAGCAGGGCAGAGGTCGCAAACGGGTTTTGATTCCTTACCCGTACCCGGCCGCACCAGGGGCGCAAATGGGTACCCGTTCCCTACCCATACCCGTACCCTACCCGAAATGAGTGACAAACGGTTACTCACCAGTGACTCACGGCCTACCCGTACCCGTACCCGGCCGCACCAGGGTCGCAAACGGCTACCCGTACCCGTACCCGGCCGGGTACGGGTAGCCGGGTATCGGGTAGGGTACGGGTATCGGGTACCCGGTTGCGACTTCTGCAGCAGGGGCGTGAACTTCGAACTGGATTCCACGTGAATGGGCCACAGAGAGAACTACCCCCCCCCTCCCTCCCTCACTCGGTGGCTTTTCTCTCCCTGTGCACCGGGTCTCCCTCCCACACGTGCAAGCGATCGCCAATGGAGTCGCCCAAATACCCTAATGTAGGACCGCAGAGCTTGGGCAATGACTGGTGCCGGCTCTGGCTGCCTTCGTCCGTAGTTTCCCACGCCTCCGAATCGTTCTCTCTCTCTGTCTTGAGAGTGTTGAACGAAAACGGTGCGCGCTGCTAATGAATGAATTAGAAAGAAGCAAGCGGAAGTGAGAGCACGTACCGGGCAACTTCAGCAGGAATATGTGCGGACGGCCGAGGGGTCCATCCTCTGAGGACCCGAAGAGCTGCCTGGAAGAAAAAAAATCCGCCCGTGGACGAAAACGGAACGTCGTTTTACGAGGAGGCCGCCTCTCCGCACCGTTGGGACGAGCACGCTGTCAAGCAGGACGAGTGGACGGACGCGCAAGACAGATCAAGGCAACCGGGTGACATCGGGAAGCAAGGACGAGTTGGTGATGTCCGAGTGTGCCAGCGTCCACCGCACAGCCCCCCCCCCCGCCCCCTCTCTTAAAATCAGAGTAACTAATCCAGCAGTGGACCCAGTATTTTTACACATCCCATCAGCAACACGGTCTTCTGGGAGTGCACAACTGCCACGGTTCAACACAAGCACAACCCTAGACCGGTTTTGACATCCAATGTCTCATCGGCAGTCAGGCTCGCGTGAGCCGATGTCGGTCAGCCGCCAGACGTTTATCGGCCAGGTCAGTCCCGTGACCTCCTGCCGGCAGGGGAGAACTTCAGTCGCGATCGCCTCGAAGTGCACCCAGCCTGACGCAAGCACCGTGTAGTGACGTCACGGCCGCTCGGCAGCAAACGATGTATGTTGATTGTTGTTGTTGTTATTGTGCCCATGCGTGTGCCCGTGTGTGTTATGCGCGTGTGTGCGTGTGCCCGCGTGTACGTGCGTGTGCCCGTGCGTGTTACAGAGGTCGCAACCGGGTACCCGATACCCATACCCTACACGATACCCGGCTACCCGTACCCGCCCGGGTACCGTTTGCAACCCTGGTGCGGCCGGGTACGGGTAGGCCGTGAGTCACTGGTGAGTCACCGTTTGTCACTCATTTCCCAACGTCTTGTCTCTTCTCACAATTCAAGTTCCTAGAATCAACCCAACCACGCCTGCAACATGGCTTCATCCCAGAGGTCGCAATCAGGTGCCCGGGTACGGGTAGGGTACGGGTAGGCCGTGAGTCACTGGTGAGTAACTGTTTGTCACTCATTTCCCAACGTCTTGTCTCTTCTCACAATTCAAGTTCCTAGAATCAACCCAACCACGCCTGCAACATGGCTTCATCCCAGAGGTCGCAATCGGGTACCCGATACCCGTACCCTCCCCGATACCCGGCCGGGTACGGGTAGCCGGGTATCGGGTAGGGTACGGGTACGGGTACCCGGTTGTGACCCTGGTGTGGTCGGGTACGGGTACGGGTAAGGAATCAAAACCCGTTTGCGACTTCTGGCGTGTTATGCGCGCATGTGTGCGTGCGTCCGCACGAGCCTTACCGTCGGGCGCGGGGGGCAGGGGCTTGCCGGCGGGGAGCGGCGGGGGCGGAGGCCCCACGGAGGAGGCGACGCGGAATCCGGGAGGCAGCGTCTCCGAGGAGCCGGCGAGCAGCGAGAGCGCGTGAGCGTCCTTCGGCCGGAAGCGCTTGCGCCACGACGGCGCGTGCTGCAACGCAACAGCACCACCCCCGCGTTCGCGACGACGACGACGATACGACGACGATACGACGACGACGATGATACCGGCTGAGATGAAGTCGGGTGGACGTGTCCCGTGCCAACAAATGTCAGCGCCGGCACGCTCAAGCACCGTCCCTTCCCACACTGCGATGGGGCTGCGAATTCAATAAGTTCCATCCTTCACAGGCGAGACGCGTCAATTCTGTCGTTCGAAACGGTCGCGGGCCAATTTGAGCCAGACACGAGATTTCCACTCAGTCGGAGGACGAGAGATGCTGGATGGAAATTCGTGTAGCGGGAACGATGTGTTGACGGGTCGGTTTTTCCAGCCGATGTCGTGAATCAGATTTTTTTAGTTTTTATTTGTTTAGGCTATGCAATGGTCTGGCTCAATTTATGCCCCCCGAAAAAGCCACAGCAAGTTAAGCTGCCTGTATGCGTGGCAATTTGGCTATGTCGGGTGGTGGAGGGTTTCACGGCTTAAATTGTGCCAGACCGTCACGTGACCTCACCCAAAATGCCATCGTGACGTCTTGGACAACGCCCTAACGGACGGGTTGCAACCAGAGCCACCGTGACGATTATATGAGTAATCGATTGCTCTGCCGATTGCCGGTTAGACTGTTCAATCGATCGGACGAAGAAATCTGCATAAGCTCTCTGCAGGCACGGGGCTTCAATCAGCATCTGGAGAAGAGGGCACAGCTACGGACGGCCCTCCTCCCGGAAGATTCCCGTCGCGCTGCGTGATGCCACGGCCGGTAGGTGGAGGTCTCCCGTCCGCGGAACTCACCTCGTCCAATCTCCTCTCCGTTCCCAGCGCGAGGAGGTTGTTGAACTCCCTCTCCAGGACTTGTCTGGCCTGCGACGCACGAGGGAGAAGTCCAACTCAGTCGCTGGCGCTCGCCGACCGTGCTCAGCAGGCCGCCGAGTTGAAATCGTGGATTTTTTATTTTAGCCACTCAGCTCTGTCGTTATAGTAATAGGTTTTTACCCTTTCAACTGGTACAAAAACTGACACCTTTATACAAGGCATCATGTTTGCAATAACCACAACACAAGCAGTCAAAATGCAAACAAAAAGAAACAACTCTGATGATGGTAATGATATGCACTGTCCTTGAAGTTGATTGGTCCACACCCGAGACAGCTTTTCTTAGAGCGTAGTCTCCATTGGTGTTGGACCAGATGACGCCAAAAGGCATAATCTTTTTGTTTGCATTTTGACTGCTTGTGTTGTGGTTATTGCAAACATGATGCCTTGTATAAAGGTGTCAGTTTTTGTACCAGTTGAAAGGGTAAAAACCTATTACTATATTTTGCCACTGGTAAAGGAGGTCTCATAGTGTAAAAGCTCTATCGTTATTATTATTATAGGAAAGGCTCACTGAGTCTCTAAGGCTGTTTTGCAGAAGGGTCCTGCCAAGGCGGGGGGTGGGGGGGGGAGCAAGCGGGCGAGACCTGCATATGTGTGTGCTTATACACGTGTTTCCAATTGTGCGTTTGATGCGCTTCTGTGGCCGTCTGGAACGCTCTTCCTTCCGATGTTCGGAATTCACCGGAGCTATGCACTTTTAAATCATCATCTAGAGTGAAACCTCATTTCTTTAGAACTAATTTTTTGTAATATATATAATTGGTTGTTTACCCTTTTATCTGGCAACAAAACTGACACCTTTTTTTTACGAGGAGTCGTGTTTGCATTGACTACAATACCTGCGGTCGGAATGCAAACAAAAAACACAACTCTGATAATGTATGCACTGTCCTTGAAATCCAATGGTGTAAATGCTTACCCCGAGCTCTCATACTCTGATGGTGCATTGTCTTTGAGTTGTGCGCCTTTTGGCGTCATCTGGTCCAACACCATGTGAGATTAGGCTCTAAGAAAAGCTGTCTCGGGTGTGGACCAATCAGATTCAAGAACAGTGCATACATTATCAGAGTTGTGTTTTTTGTTTGCATTCCGACCGCAGGTATTGTGGTCAATGCAAACATGACTCCTCGTAAAAAAGGTGTCCGTTTTGTTGCCAAATAAAAGGGTAAAAAAACAATTATCATATTTTGCTACTGGCAAAGGAGGTTCCAATGGCGATTTTTTTAGTTTAGTTTGTTGCCCTTCGCCCCCGCACCTCCGATTAGCGCGGTTTGCTACGTACGGTGCCAAAGAAGTTCCACGTACGCTCAACAGCCTGCTAAAGTCTGCTTGGTTCTTTCGGTAAAGTCACGTAGAAGGAAAATAATAAAGTAATAAAAATAAAACACAATTATTTTACTATTTTTTTATTTTTATTATTTTATTATTTTCCTTTTACGTGACTTTACCAAAAGAACCAAGAAGATGAATCCCTGCAGTCACGAAAGCTTTAAATCGAAATTTAGCCTGCTAAAGGCTATACGGGGAGGGAGATCTTTGTGTGCGTGCGTGCCGACCCCCCCCGCCCCCACGCCCGCGCCGTGCCTGCGTGTTCTGCGTGGGTATCTGCAGCGCGAGCGCGAGGCTCGCGTGGTCGAACATCTCGTCGAGGGCGATGACGGCGCCGTGGACGCCGCTCTCCTGCAGCCCCGTGGCGAACTCCCGCAGGCCCACGGAGGCCACCCACGCCGTCACGCGCTCGTTGCTCCACACCAGCACGTCTGCGCCGCCGCCGCGGTGACGCGGAGAGCGCCGGCCGGCACCGGCAACACCGGAGTCATCGGCATCGTCATCGGCATCGTCATCGGCGGTATCGGCATCATCAGCGTCATCGGCATGATCAGCGTCATCAGCGTTATCAGTGTTATCAGCGTCCTCGGCATCATCAGCGTCATCAGCGTCATTGGCGTCATCGGCATCATCAGTGTTATCAGATTCATCGGCATCATCAGCATCATCAGCATCATCAGTGTTATCGGCATCATCGGCATCATCAGTGTCATCGGCGTCATCGGCATGATCGGCATCATCAGCATCATCAGCGTCATCAGCATCATCGGCATGATCAGCGTCATCAGTGTTATCAGCATCATCAGCATCATCAGTGTTATCAGCATCATAGGCATGATCATCGGTGTCATCAGCAACGTCAACGTCATCGGCAATATCAGTATCATCAGCAGCACCGGCGTCACCAGCGTCATCGGCAGTGGTGATGTTTACACATCGCACCAGATACTCATTTGAGGCCGAGACGAGCTTGGTGAGGCCCAGGACCGATTCAAATAATCGTCACCGATGTTGGCCAATGAGCGCGAATCGATACTCGGGTCGCCGGGTTCGTAGCGCAGAGGCGCTAACCGCTGCACCACCGCACCCCGTTGATAAACACACACCAATACCAACACCCGCCATTCGCCACTAAGTGACGGCGACGTGACCGCGGCGCCTGTGCCAGGCTAGGTGCACGTTGAGGTTGCCACGTGAAGTGTCGAAGGCTCACTGACGACAGGAGGAGGTCTCGGGACAGACCCAGCAGGTGCCATGGGTTAGCTGACCGTGATGACCGGTAGATGCACCACCAGCTGCTGTACCCCCTACTGTGCCAACCGCGAACACACACACACACGTGCGCTCGCAACGTGCGCTCCACTCCCGTGCTCACCTTTCAGCTCGTGCTGGCTTTCATCTCTCCTCCTCTCCAGTTCTTTGCGGTCGTAGTTGAGTCGCTTGAGACACATGATCCCGAACTGTAAACTCATCCTGCGCGGGCAACGGACGCAGAGTGCGATTGTTACTGTTGTCAGCTCTTTTGAATACTTTTGACTTAAGGCAAACATTTATATTGTATGCTCTATTTATTCATTATTTATCCATGTTTCTATTAATATTAATGCTTTAATGTGTTTGTATAACGTGTATTTATAAAAAAAAAAATTGCGTGTTTAAATATTACAAAATGTGTTTTTATGGTGAAAAAGATCAACTTCCGATCGTCTTGGCACAACATAAGCTGTTAACATGTATTTATTATATTCGATCAACGATAATTTCTAATTAGCGATCGTTTTCGTGGAACCAACCAACGCCGTTAACCGAGGTGGCCCACTGCACACTGCATCATTATTATCATTGCTCTGGAGAAGGCGTAGTCCCACATCCAAGAAGGCCGAACGGGGCAAGCGTGACCTGTGGAAGCTGTCGACCATCTTCAAGTTGACCCGCAGGTCCTTCTTGGTGAGGTGGTCGAGCATGCGTGCGTCCACCAGGCACTCCATGAAGTAGCTGCGGTACTGCGGGAGGCCCAGGCTGGGCAGCCACTCGTTACCGATCCACTCGTGGTTCATGTCTCCGTAGCCCAGGGTCTTACGCGGACAGGGGAGCGAGGAGAAGGGAGGAGGGAGTGGTGGTGGCGGGGAAGGGGGGAGTGGACGAGGAAGACACACAGAAACCAAGTGGCACGGGCTCGTCACCGTGTCTGTATGTATGTAGGTTGAGCTTTTGTTCACACCGTACGTAAGCAACCGTGCTGATTTATAATCGGAGGTGCGGTGGGGGCAGACCATCCTGGAGAAGATTCCAGGCACGCGTTGACAATGATGGCGAACAAGTGGAGATTCTTTGACTTTTTTAAGCTATTAACGTTACATTTGTTATCATGTTACAGTGTGTTATCCGCTGTTTTCCATTAAAAACGATAGTCCCATATAAGTGTTAACTTTTTTTTGAAGCACCCTGTGTGGTGTATGTTGATCTTCTGTTCACAACGGAGGTGTGGGGTGGGGGGGGGGACCAGTGCGAAACGCACACAGCATTCAGCTTTGACGAAAATGATTATTCCGATCCCGATGATGACACTGATGGCGATGTTGACGAAGATGATGATACGGATTATGACAATGATGGAGCTGTGATGCTAATGGAGTGAAGCACCACCCACCTGGGCCCAGGCCAACTCTTCCTCCTCCTTACGTGCGCATGCCACATTTGGACAAGACAATTACCATTAGCACGATCGCATGCAAAGACACACACACGCGTACACAAAGACAAAGATCCCCCGTGCAGCCTGTAACAGACTGTTGGGGCAAGTGCTGTTAGCGAGCACCTACGAAAGGCCGGCACGGCGCACGAGGTGGCGGGTGGCCAGCACCACGCCGGGACGCCTTTGTCTCCCCGAGTGGCGATGTTGACTCCACACCGCACCAAATGATAATCGTCGCAAGTCCTAGCCGAGTGAGATTCAACTGGGAGCTCGAGTGTAGTGAGCTGATGGTCTCAAGCTCACTCACCAATGACCGCTCCAAAAGAAAATCGCATCAAAATCAGTTTTGCAACCTATTTGCCGAAATTCCAGCTCCATGATAGTTCAAAATGTCGGTTTGCGTTCATGCGACGGGCAGTCCTCCCTGTGTTTGCAGGGTGGGTGGGAAAAGTGCTGCCCTCTGCTCTGAGGGTCAGAGGTCACTTGAATAGGGATGTCTCAGAAGTCGCTCTTGCGATGTTCGTTTCCGCGCGGCCGTCCTCCGACACTGCTCTGCGGGAAAATCCGGATGGGGTTCTCCATCCGAACCTGTCAACCCCTTATCAGTGCCCTGCCTTATTACACACCAATTCACACCTTATTGGTCACCCCGTGCCCCTTATACATCTCAACGTTCATCCTTACAAAGTCCCATCACAAGGGAGAAACACAAATAAATAGACACGTTTTTTTTTCATTTGCCCGTATTGAAACGGCTGTACGCCGTATGAGCCTGAAAAGTCAATTTCCCTGCACAACAATACGGGGTAAACCGTGTGGGTTGACAGGAATGTCCCTCTCTCGCGATGACTCGCCACGTTGGGGGGGGGGGGGGGAGGGGAGGAGAACCGCGTGCGATTAAATAAACCAAAAAGGTTGACAAAAGCGGTACCGTTTTCTGTGCGGCCGCCAGGTTCTCGATCTCCTCGTGGGTCAGCCACACGTTGCCCGTGGGCTGCTCGCGTCGCACGGCCACCACACCGCACACGACACATCACACGACGCACCACACGGCACACGACGCACACAACGCACCACACATCACACGACGCACCACACACAACGCACCACACGGCACACGACACACACAACGCACCACACGGCACACGACGCACCGCACACGATGCATCACACACAACGCACCACACGACGCACCACACGGCACACGACGCACCGCACACGATGCACCACACACGATGCATCACACACAACGCACCACACGACACACAACACACCACACACAACGCATCACACGGCACACGACGCATCACACACAACGCACCACACACGATGCATCACACACAACGCACCACACGACGCACCACACGACACACGACGCACCACACACGACAGAGACAAAGACAGTGAGTCCTCTGCTCAGACTTGTGGACAGCGTGCGGCAAGCGCCGTTAGCAAGGGCGTCACGCTGCCTGGCCGCACGGCCGGTGCCACGGCGCCGTGCGTGTGCGTGCATGCATGTGTACGTGCGTGTGTGCGCGTGCGTGTGCGCATGCGTACGTGCGTGTCCACGTGTGTCCGTGTGTGTTGCGCGTGTGCGTGCGCGCGTAGGGCACCGTGCGCGAGGTGGGTGGCGCCGAGGGGCTGGTGAGCGACACCATCTCCTGGATGGCGAGGCGCAGCTTGAGCCGGTGCAGCGGGTTCGAGATGCCGATCTCGCGCTGGATCTCCGTGTCCGACAGCGCCGACATGATGGCGCCGCTCTTGACGTTGGCGCGGCACGCCGCCACGTACCACGCCGGCATGCCCACCCACAGCTGCGCGGCACAGATCGGCAAGCCCCGTCAGCGAGCCCCGTCAGCGAGTCGCGCCCGGCTGTTCGGCCTACCGAAGGAGCGAGCGGAGGCGGAGCGGCGGCCCCAGCGGGTACCGTGCTATCCCCCCCACTTCCCTCGCCGCTCGTCGCCGAGGTTTCGCAGGTTCGAATCTGGCGGGCCGCCCCGGTTAAGTCCCTGCGAGGGGGTGGGGGGGGGGTGTCGACTGCTTCGCAGTGGGCCATCAGGAGATCGCGTCGCACGACGTAATTCGAGGAGAGCGGACCGCCCGTGCGTCGGTGGCCGCGATTCGAACGGGCCAAATTCGAAGAGATCACCCGCAAAAAAATGTCCCGCCGTGGTCGACGACTGCACGCGGCAGCGATCGCCGCAGGCTGCCGCCCCGGCCACAGGTCACGTGCTGGGTCACGCGGCACCGCGCAGGGCACAGCTGTTTGACGTGACTTGTGACGCGAGTCGCTCGTCGCGTGGAAAGCGCTCCGAGATACCCTCGCAAATAATTGCGTTATTACTTTTAGGAGTGGTAGTTATTCGTAGTGGTCGTCGTACCAGGAGGGAATTGCTCGGCAATGGAAAGTACGAGAAAGCCGTCATTGTCATGCTCATCTGTACTCAGAGCACGAACAGTAATCTGCTTGTTTAGGTGATAAAATCGCCAGATACTAACGTGGTGTGTTATATCCGCTAGGATTTGAAGAATATTCCGGCGAAAAGAATGACATTCATAGGAGCAAAAAAAGTCAGAGCGATTTTACTTGAACCGTAGTCAGTCTTCGGTGGAGCTCTCTCTTGTTCTTATTAGTTGTCTTCTAAACTTCTCCGTCCGCCGTTTAAATTCAATTCAATGTCTCATTTGTTGCATGAAAGATCCCGTTTAGCCACTTACCCAGCTGGCTTCAATGGCACCCCCCCACCCCCGCACAATAAAATTATTGTCGGGGGTGGAAAGCACCCCAGCCAGCCAGGAAACTCGAGGCAGAAATTATTTTCAACATCGGTGTCGTTAGTGACCCACCTCAAGCCAGGCCACGACGGTTGGGCCATCCCAGAGGGCAAAGGGCAGGCCGTGCCTGCGCGCCTCCTCCAGAAGCTCGTGCCTGAAAGCAGAGTGACCACAGCGTCACGCGCGCGAGGGGGAAACACTCTATCCCACTCAGGTGGCGTCAACAGTTTTGCCGCACTGTCTTCTGCCGGAGAGCCAGGGCACACGGCTCCCACTCGACGCTGGATCACAGCCGTGCACGGCTGCCACCTGGCTAAAGATCTCAGAAGACAAGCAGGGGTTGAGCCTGGATAGCGCTTTGATGGGCGAGCCCCACGTCACCCGGGATGTTATGGGCTGCCGCGCGGACCTGCCTTGTCGGCAGCAGAGGCACACCGCAGCAGAATCCCGTCGTTGCGCTGTACTTTCTATGCTCCCGCGTCTGTGCTCCCAACATTCACACCCCCACACTGGCCAGCGTGGTGCCAGTATACGCGAAGAACCGTCGCCAGGCCGTGCAACCCCCGATCCAGCAGTGATTGAGAAAAGGGTTTTTAACCATCTTCCCGGCAGACAAGGAACGTTGGGCAAAAAGTTGGGCCAACGTTGGGCCCCAACGGTTCCGACCGCGTGCCGATAACGTTAGCCCGACGTTGGGCCAACGTTGGGCCCTAACGGTTCTGACCGCGTGCCGACGTTGGCTCGACGCGCTCAGCTCAGCGGCAGAGGGGCACGAGCGAGCGAGCGAGCGAGGTGCCGGCCACTCACTTTTTGCGGAGCCTCCGGTCTCTCTCCGCCTGCGCCCCCATCCGCCCCAGCCCCATGACGTCCGGGGTCGTGACCTCGGAGTCCGATGAACTTCCTGGTAGCGTCCAGAAAGGTGAAGATGAAGACATGAAGGAAAGATCGCCCGTATCGTTGTTATTTTTATTATCACAGTCGATCATCGATTATCCGGCTGCTGCCAACATTATCGGGCAGGTCCTGGTCCGATCCAGCAAAACCGCTCCAAATGCTGCACCATGTGGCATGACTAAAAAAGTTGCTTCGCTTGATTTCAATGTTAAATATTATATACGGTACATTATACACTACGTACAACTTCAACAATGAAAATACTGCACGTAGATACATCACCCCATGCAGAGTCTTCGAGATTGGAGTGTTAAGTAGGGTACTGTAAATACAGTCACTTTTTTAAGTAGGTTATTTATTTTCGTCTATTCGTACGTTTATTTATGCCAATTTCAAAGGGTAAACAAATGTAAAACACGAAAAAAAGACATATAACAACACCTAAAAACAAAGCGGTCGGAAAATCGTTGATCTGTAATAAAATCGATGGTCTCCTGTATTAATTATAAAAAACAATGACGCAGTTGCTGGGCACAAGCCGAAGGGCCCAATACACCAGGCGGGCAGCAACAAACAGCGCCAAGAGTGACCTGGGGCACGGGTCTGCCAGTAGGAGGCGACAATGTTTGCTGCTCTGTGTGCTCTCCATTGAGTCACTGATGGTGCTGCTGATGACGCTGAAGACCCAAGACGCTGTTGCTTATGCCGATGGGAAAGACACTGATGATGCCGATGATGCTGAAGACAGAGACGTTGTTGCTGATGATGACGCTGACGATGATGACACTGAAGACGGACGCTGTTGCTGATGATGATGATGCTGACGATGATGATGCTAATGATGATGCTGACGATGATGAGACAACATGACCAGTCACGCACTGCTGCTGATGATGACACTGACGATGATGACACTGAAGACAGAGACGCTGTTGCTGATGATGATGACGATGACAATGAAGACAGGACCGCTGTCGCTGCTGTTGACGATGACGATGATTGATCGTCGAGGACGCGCGCCGCTCCCACCTTGCGACGAGAGGCCGGCCTCCTTGCCCGTTTGGCCGATGCGACTCTTCCTGCGGAACAGGAGCCCGAACTTGAGGCCTCGCTTCTTCTGCGCCTTGCGCAGAGTGTCCGAGCCGCCCGCACCCCCCTCCATGCAAGCGCTGCGGGGGGGGAGGGGTGGGGGGGTGGGGGTGGGTCGGAGGGGTCAGGGTGGAGTGGGGGGGCGGGGTCGGGGGGGGTCAGGGGTGGGGTGGGGAGGCGGGGGTGGGGGTGGGGGGGGGCGGGGGTGGGGTCGGGGGGGTCAGGGGTGGGGGGGGTGGCGGTGGGGTCGGTGGGGTAGGGGGTGGGAGTCAGGGGTGGGGTCAGGGGTGGGGGGGCGGGGGTGGGGTCGGTGGGGTAGGGGGTGGGGTGGGAGTCGGGGGTGGGGTCAGGGGTGGGGTCAGGGGTGGGGTGGGGTCAGGGGTGGGGGGGGCAGGGATGGGGTCAGGGGTGGAGTGGGGAGTGGGGTCGGGGTCAGGTTTAGCAGGGAGAAGGGGGCAACCACAGCAGGGTGTTGTGTGTAAAGTAGAACCACCTCCTGACGACGGTAATTAATTGGTTCCACGAAACTGGTCGTTAAGTGATTTGCTTGTTAAGCGAGTCTAGGAAATACACGTTAAAGACTTCATTCATTCCGATGGCATCGAAAGTTACCCTTTTTTCACCCAAAAAAATTACTTTAAAATATTTAAACAAAGGATATTCATACATAACGACTAACAACATGATAAACACATACTATTAAAATAAACACGGTTAATCAATGCATTAATTAACATTTACTGCCCGTCGTTAACAAGGGAGCGGTCGGTAAGCGAACACATTGGGCTCTACGGAGGCCTGTAGTTAAGCGATTAGTCGTTCACATGGGTGGTCATTAAGAGAGGTTCTACTCTACACTACTATACACTATACACTACACATTGGGCTCGATGGAGGCCCGTCGTTAAGTGTAAATACACAGGGAGAGGTTGGCGGAGCGCTTTGCACGCGATAGGCAAACTCGCGCCACCTCTCGCCCTCACACATTTGGACGGAGGCACCCCCAGTGGCAGCTATCCCCGTGCGACGCCAGGTAACTTGACGCCCTAAAAGTGTGCACCAGCCTGCCAGCAGGGCAGCCGCCGCCGGGAACCACCGACACGTGGTTCGATCTCCCGGCGGGGCAGCTGAGACTCGTGGCGTCTTAAGCGTCGCAGCGGTTCATGCCGTTCGTGCCGTTCGCACCGACGGGCCCTCGTACCTGCGCATGTCCTCCGTGCTCACCGCCTTGATGCCGTGCGCCAGCTTGTGGAACTTCCCACGTGGCGAAGGCGGCGGGGACGTCTCGCACTTGATGGTGGCCTTGTCCTCCCGCTCCTCCTCGCCGCCCATCGTCTGCGCGAGCCCGATACGCGCGCAGGCAAGGACAGCCGTGAGGAACGCTGGGGGAGGCGCGCGTGCCGGCGAGCGCGCAGCGAACGCAGCCCGGGCGTACAAGCGTGTATTTGCATTTGATATACATCCTTGCCTGTTCGCACGTTCGTGCGTTGCTCGAAGAGAGTTAAACAACGACGGAAAAGTGCGCAAGAAAAGCACTGGGAAGTGCGCGCGATGAGATTTACGCCGAGAAACAGGAAGAGGAACGCACGGTTTGCACAAGAAATGCAAGTTGGAGACATCACGGTGACTGCTCGTGAAAGTCAGCGGGCTTAAGGCAGGACATGTCGCCAGGAGGCTCGATGATGGCCGGTGGTCGAGACCAACGATGGAGTGGCAGCCAAACGGGGGACCGCGTGCGAGAGGGGACGCCAAGGGCAGAGATGGAGCGACGAGATCGGCCCGTGCGCAGGCGCGAGACGGATCTCCGCGTCGCACGGCCTTCAACGGAGCAGCGGGGGCGGAGCACGGCTAGACACGATCGGTGGCCCGCTCAAGGAACGTCCTGGGACGACGGGCGACCGACGCGTGCCAGAGTTCGCAGGACGCGCGACGCGTGTCACGGTGCGGCGGGAGCGCCGCGCTGGGTGTGAGAGCCGTGTCCGGGGCACTGATACGCACCCTCCGGCGGTATTTCCTCAGGTCGCTCGGCTGCGGAGACACGAAGACAGCGCCGCCGATCACTCGATGCGTTTGGTACCAGAAGCCGAATCAACAAACAAGAACGGCAGGCTCACGGTACAAGCCCAATACTGTCCCTAAACCCAACCCTAGCCCCAATACTGTCCCTAACCCCAACCCTAACCACAATACTGTCCCTAACCCCAACCCCAAAACTGTCCCTAACCCCAACCCTAACCCCAATACTGTCCCTAACCCCAACCCTAACCCTAATACTGTCCCTAACCCCAACCCTAACCACAATACAGTCCCTAACCCCAATACTGTCCCTAACCCCAACCCTAACCCCAATACTGTCCCTAACCCCAATACTGTCCCTAACCCAACCCTAACCACAATACTGTCCCTAACCCCAACCCTAACCCCAATACTGTCCCTAACCCAACCCTAATCCCAATACTGTCCCTAACCCCAACCCTAACCACAATACTGTCCCTAACCCCAATACTGTCCCTAACCCAACCCTAACCACAATACTGTCCCTAACCCCAACCCTAACCCCAATACTGTCCCTAACCCAACCCTAATCCCAATACTGTCCCTAACCGCAACCCTAACCACAATACTGTCCCTAACCCCAACCCTAACCCCAATACTGTCCCTAACCACAACCCTAACCAAACTCTAACCTTCATTCTATCTCTAAGTCTACTCCTAAACCCAAACACCACTCACCACCTCACCTCCACCTCACCTGCAGCCCTCTCCCTCACCTCCACCTCAGCCTCCCCACTGCCCCCCCACCCGCCCCGCCCCCGCCCCGCCCCCCCCCCGCCCCCCAGCGCCAGCTCACCAACGTCATGACCCCCCCCATGCGGTCGAGGTCTCTTGCGGGACGCCGCGGCGGCGCCACCTTGGGCGTGGAGCGCCCGCTCACGGGGGGCGAGGGGCTGGGGGGCAGCGACGAGGAGGAGGAGGCGGTGGCGGTGGTGCCGCCGCCGCCGCCCAGCGAGCCGGGGATGGAGGAGGCGGAGCGCAGGCGCGAGAACGCCAGCGACTCCAGGCTCGCCGAGCTCACGCGAGACTCCAGCTCCTCCGTGCGCAGCTCCGTCGACTCCTTCTCCTCCTGGATGAGCCTGCGGTGGGGGGCGGGGAAGGGGTGGGTCGGGTGGGGGAGCCAAGACGACGATGACGACGACGAGGTGGTGAGTGGTGTTCGGGTTTAGGGGCAGACCTCTGTTGTGAATAGCACAGGTCGCGAAAGCCTCCTCCTATGTATTCAACTCAAAAAGACGCGGCGCCAGCCTCCGCCGTGGCCCGGCACGGCCCGGCGGCGGCAGCCTGCGACTCGCCTGATCTCGTGGTTGATGGCGTCGAGCTGCTCCTGCAGCATCAGCGCCAGCGTCTGGGCGTCCGAGCCTCCGGCCCCCGCGCCGCCACCGCCGCCACCTGCGCCGGGAGACAGCAGCAGCGAGTCGGAGTGGCAGAGGTCGCGGGGTCGGCCGTCCCGCCCCGGCTCTCCGTTGTCCTGATCGCTGAGGCTCCCGTCGGGGTCCAGCGAGCGAGTGGAGCCGCTCAGGAGCGATGGTGTTCCTCCTCCACCTCCTCCCATCATTCCACCGCCTCCTCCTCCTCCTCCCATCCCGCCGATTCCACCGCCCAGGTCCCAGCCCTGCTCGGTGAGCACCTGGGGGGGGTGAGGGGGGGGGACCGTGGAGGGGAAGCACCGAGTGAGGACCGGGATGTGGGGTGTTGGGAAGGTCCTCCCGATTGGGATCCTCGGCCAATGTCGTTGTGAGTGTTTCCTTCTCTGGAATGTGGAAAGTAAGCGGTTGTTCCAGTGCGTGAGCGTGCCAGGGATTTAGTGAGTGAGTAAACGGGCTTGGGTGGGCGACTGAGTGAGTGAGTGGGCAGGCGAGCGAGCAAGCGATTGGGTGAACGAGTCGGTGAGTGAGTGAGTCGGGGAGTAAGTCCACAGGTGAGCTTGTGAGTGAGTGAGTGGGCGGACGAGCACGCGCAAAAGTAGATGAGATGGGTGAGTTCGTGGCCGAGTGAGTGAGCGAGCGAGCGAGCCGGCGGGCGAGCGGACAAGTAGTGACCTTGCTGGGATCGTCCCGGAAGGGTGGGAGTCGTCCCTTCTTGGCGCGGCGCATCGTAGCGTAATGATCGACGGGGTCGAGGGTGAGCGACCCGCGCGAGAAACGAGACGTGTCCACCGCGCTGCTCCGGTGGGACCTGGCACACCCAACAAAGACAAAGATCCCCCGTGTAGGCCTCACAGACTAGCGGGACAAGTGCTGTTGGCGAGCGCCCGTGAAGGCTGGCACGGCGCCCGGCCGCCTTTGTCTCCCCAGTGCTGATGTGCACGTACTGTACCAGCTGCTCATTTAAGGCTGAGTCGACCGTGATGAGACCCAGGACCAGTTCAGATATCGTCACTGGTGTTGGCCGTTGGCTGTAAGCGAACTCGGGTCGCCGTGTTCGTAGCGCAGTGCGTTAACCATCCGGTCATCAATCCCCACGCATAAACGCACACACACACACACGAACATGCATAACCAGTCAACAACAACAGCCACCATTCACTACTAAGCGGTGGTGACATAACACCAACACTTGTGCAGGCTAGGTGCACGTTGAGGTAGTGAAGCATCGAAGGCCGCTGGCCGGACGTCACAGGACAGACCCAGATGCCATGGGTTGATTGACTGAGATAACTGACAGATGCACCACCAGTGCTCCCTACTGCGCCAACTTGCTGCGTTTTATCCACCCGGCGCTCCACTTGTTGCTGTGAGCGTCACTTCAACGCGACTGCCTCCAACTGCCCAGCAGCGTCCTTCACGAACCTCCTCCTCCACGGAGGCCGATCTTGACACCGCTGGTACCAGCCATCGGCAAGTCCACTCAGCTCCAAATCATCTTCTTCCACATCGGCCCACCTCGTCCCTAGCTCGTGCCGCGCCCTTTAAGACCCCTCTATCCAGCCAAACAGAAAATGGTTGAGGCACGTGTTGGCTGGGCACGGGGTGGCTGGGCACGTGGTGGCTGGGCACGTGGTGGCAGGGCACGGGGTGGCTGGGTATGGGGTGGCTGGGCACGCGAGGCCACGACACACACGCAGTAGCGAGCACCTGGGCATCAAGGTCTCCGTGAACCCCGAGGGTTTGTGCCGCCACTGCTCCACCTCCGAGCGCAGAATCTCCATCTCCTCCATCAGACGCTCCTACACACGCACGCACACAAAAGCATTGAGAGGTGGAATCAATCAACAGCACGTGGAAGACATCTGAAGCAAGTGGAATCATTCAAAAGCACGTGGGAGAATTACGAAGAAAGTGAAAGCATTCCGAAGCATGGGGATGCATTCAGAAGCAGGTGGAGGCACTGACAAGTGAAAGAAACTCGAGGAATGTTGGATCATTTAGAAGCATGCCGAATCAATGACAAACAAGTGGAATCAATCGGAAGCACGTGACGTCATTCAGAAGCACGTGACATCATTCAGAAGCACTGACATCATTCAGAAGCACGTGGGATCATTCAGAAGCACGTGACGTCATTCAGAAGCACGTGACATTCAGAAGCAAGTGGAATCATTTAGAAGTACGTGACATCATTCAGAAGCATGCGGGATCATTCATCTCCTCCTGCCTTGTCCTGCTGCATCTCCTCGAGGTGTTTTCGCACATTGTCCAGCTCCTGCGTCAGCGCGTTCTGTACAGACAGAGGCGGAGACCCTTGAGACTCGGTGAGCATTCCCAGGGTAAACAAGCGCGACGACGACGACAACAACAACAACAACGACAACAACAACAACGACGACGACAGTAAACCACACCGCAGGCCAGCGATAGCCGCACCTTCTCCTCCAGGGCCGTCATCCTCTCCTTGAGGTGCAGCTGCAGGCGCTCGTTGGACTCGGACAGGAGCTTGTCCACGGTGTCCGACAGGCGCTTGTTGTGCTCCTCGTTCATCTTCTCCCGCTGGCGAGCCTGCGCACGCGGTCGTTCTACTTAGTGAGCGAGCGGCAACCGCTGAGCGAACGAGCGGCAACTTCTTAACGAGCTGCAGCAGCTTGACGAGCAGGCGGCAGCAGTTTAACGAGCGGCAACCACGTGCATCAAGGGAAAGGGTTTGAGGCCCCATTAAAACACAAGCAGGAGGGAATGTTACACTCAACGCGGAGTCTGATCAGGAAGCGAACGCATGGGGACACGGTGAGCGGCACACCGCAGGCGAGAGAGACGTCCCTTCGGCGGAAGGGCTAAAAGGGCGCCCCGCGAGTTTGGCGACGCGAGAGCGGGGGGCGGGGAGGGGAGTGGGAGGGGCGGGGCGATCCGAGGGAGCGACGGGGATTCGGAGCTCGACCACCGCGTGGGCTCTGCGACTCGGGATGCACGTGGGGAGCGACGCACCCGCTGGAGCTCCTGGTTCTTCTCCTCCAGCTGCCCCTCCAGCTGCCGCATCCTCTCCTCGATGTTCCCGTGTCTCTCCTCCGCCTACGGGGGAAAGAGCGACAGGGTCAGGGTTCGGGGCGGGGTGGCGGGGGGGAAGGACAACAAACTGAATACAAAAAAGCAGTTGTGAAGAAATGAGTTTATCAACCGAGATGACGATTTAAAAGCGGCGCAGCTCCCGGTGCCTTCCAAATATCGGAAGGGGAAGAGCGCGTTACCAGACGGCCGCAGAAGCGCGCCGGGAAAGCGAGCGACGATGCGGCGACTGACGTCTTTGTTCGGCGGCGAGCCAAAAAAATGAGACTGACAATTTACTCACTTTGGGATCACGCACGGCGGTAACAGCGCCCCCACCCCTCCCCGCCCTGCGCCCGCCCGCCCCCAACTGCAAAAAAACTTAGGCTTTCGCGACCAATATTATTCATAATAAAGGTATTCAAATTGTAAATGTTGTGGATTTACTCTCCAACGCACCGGTGGGCTGATTGACGCGTTGTTTATGTAACAAACCTCACTGGCTGTGCCGGGTGGTGGAGGGTTACGACACATTCATACTTACGCGATCTATCTCGCAAAATTTTATTACGCAACAAAAACTACCGCTGGCTGCGTCTGCGAAAGACGGGGCAGCGCCCTCCCAATCCCCATTCGTGAGAGCCTCGTGCTACGAGAACGACAGCGTGGAGACCGAATGTCCTCGGTCGTTACGGTGAAGGAGCAATGCTGCCGGACGTGTGGGCAGCGTCTGGCGCGACGAGATGTCGTTCCTCCTGTGATCGTGATTTGCTCCTGCTCCGATCGTTTTATCGGCGCTGTCTACGGAGTCCTCCCGCAAGCGGAGACATTTGGGCAAATTAAATCGGGATTAAAAGCAACCTTTTGTGGCGCGCTGCGACATTTCGTCTTATTGTTGGTGCGCGCGCGTGTTTGCGTGTGCGGGAGCGGTGGCGCCGCGGTTAACAGACCCGTTCACCAGAATTCTATATTCCCGCTCACGGCCAACGTCGACACCGGCGACGGATATCTGAACCGCTCCTGGGCCTCCCCTAGGTCGGCTCAGCTTCAAATTCGTAGACATCGCCACTGGGGAGCCGAAGGCGGCCGGGCGCCCACCAGCCCCCTCCCACCCCCCCCACCCCCCCCCCCGCCCCCCCCCCCCCCCCCGCGTGTGCCGTGCCGACCTTCGTACGCGCCGCTCGCTGACCAGCCCGCGCGGGCCACACGGGGGGCCCTTTGGCTTTGTGCGCGTAGCGAGCGCACCTTGGTGAGGGCCGCGACGCGCTGAGCCAACTCCGCCTCGACTTCAGGGAGCGTCTCGGCTTTGCGCAGCGTCTGCTGCAGCCTCTGCTCCGCCGTCTCCAGCCGCTCCTGCAGCTGCCGCCCGCGCTCCTCGCTCTGCATGGGAGGGGGGTGGGAGAGGGTGACGCAAATCGAGACCCCCAACGACCCCGCGCTCGCGTTCACCGTGACCCCAACGACCCCACGCTCACGTTCACCGTTACCCCAATGACCCCACGCTTGCATTCACCGTGACCCCAACGACCCCACGCTCATGTTCACCGTGACCCCAATGACCCCATGCTCACGTTCACCATGACCCCAACGACCCCGCGCTCACCGTGACCCCAATGACCCCACGCTCACATTCACCGTGACCCCAACGACCCTGCGTTAGCGTTCACCATGACCCCAACGACCCCACGCTCACCATGACCCCAATGACCCCTCGCTCACGTTCACCGTGACCCCAACGACCTCGTCTCACATTCACCGTCACCCCAAAGACCCCACGCTCGCGTTCACCGTGACCCCCAAGAACTAGTGAGGGTCACACACGAGTGAGATCACCAGTGAGCCGTCACCCGTGACTTCACTCACAATCTCACCCAGCGATGCAACAAGTGATCTCGCTCGCGACGTCACGGTGGCCGGCGCGTGCGAGGCCTCCCACCTGTCTGTGCAGGGCCTCCTTGTTGGCGAGCTCCGTCTCCAGCTTGTCGTTGAGGTCGTGCAGTGACGTGGCCTCGCGCTGAGCGGCCAAGTAGCGCTTCTCCAGGGTCGTGATTCTCTCCTCCATGTCCTCCTTCTGTGCCATCACCTAACGGGGCAGGCGCACACACACACAGACGCACACACGGGCGCGCGCACAAACACGCACGGGCACAAAAACGCGCGCACACACGCACGCACGCACACGCACGTACACGTACACGCACACAAGCGCACACACACACACGTAAGCGTGCAAGCATACGTACACGCGCGGACGCGCGCGCAAGCGAGCACGTCTGGCGGCGGTGCGCGGGCACGAGGGGACAAAGCCGCCGGACGAGCTCGTCAACGACGCCGTACGCCTTGAAACGTTGACGCGACACTGCACCGCTGCATCGAAATTCGTTCCAACTATCCTTGATACAGGTTTTTTTTTGGGTTAGATGGCGTAAATCTAATTGTGTCGTTCAACCCGGGAGCAAATCCACAACATTTACAATCGTAAATGGAAAGCAAATCCACAACGTTTACGATTGTCAACATTGTGGATTTGCTCTCCAACACACCGGTGTGCTGTACTAGAAACGAATTTGCACGTTCTGTTTACATGATAAACCTTACTAATTGGCTGTGTCGGGTGGTGGCGGGTTTCACGACACAACATTTATATATTTAACGCGATCTAACCAAAAAAAACATCTTTTATGGACGATATTAAAGCCTTTAACGTGTTAAATCGTCCTAACTGCTCGCGGATTCGCTCGCGCGCGTCAGCGTTGCCACCGAGTTCACGGCCTTTCATTCCGACGCGGAAAGCGCCGTCCATCGGCGTTGGCCGGCGTCCGCAGAGGCCATCTCTCACCCGCGTGAAATCAACGCGTTCATAACCGCCATGTTCCAGAAGTTGCGTTCTTCTAATGCACTTGCTGGGAATAACCTCCCAGAAGATACCCTTTTTCCTCGGGACAGGCAAAGCAACGAGGCGTTCATCGGCGGCGTTCACCGGCGTCGTTGACCGGCGTTGCTAACCAGTGTGTGTGTGCTAATTGGAGGTGCGGGGGAAGGACAACATACCAAAAACAATGATCAGTTCTAAAGAAACGAAAAAGGAGTGATCATTAAACGGCGTCGTGAACAGGTGGTCGTTAACCGGCGTCGTTAACCGGCGTCGCTATTTGGTGGTCGTCAACCGTTGATCGTCAACAGATCGCCGTCAACCGTTGGTCGTTAACTGTTGGTCGTCAACCGTTGGTCGTTAACCGTTGGTCGTCAACCGTTGGTCGTCGACCGTTGGTTGTCAACCGTTGGTCGTCAACCGTTGGTCGTCAACCGTTGGTCGTCAATCGGTGGTCGTCAACCGTTGGTCGTCAACCGTTGGTCGTCAATCGGTGATCATTCACCGACGTCGTCAACCGGTGTTGGCCGACGCAGCGAGTCCCCGCTGCGCCGCCGCGCACCTCGCGGATGTCGCGCTGGTGCCGGGCGTTGCTGTCCTCGGCGCGCGCCAGCTCCCGGCGCGACGCCTCCAGCTCCCCCTCGAGCTCGGCGGCGCGGCGCGACAGCCCCAGCAGGCGCTCGCGCAGCTGCGCCGCCTCCGCCCCCTGGCGCTCCACGGCCTCCTGCAGCTCCCGCAGGCGGGTGGCCGCCCCCTCCGCCAGGCCGGCCGACACCAGCGGCGCCGCCTGCGCGCACGGGGAGACGCGGCGACACGGAACGGTCGGGGCGCCGACGGACCGACGGTCGGCGCGGCGCGGTTGGGGATCGTCAGCGTGACGCGGCCCGGGATCGCTAGGGGGGGCCGGTTGAACGGTCGCTGCGATGCGAAGGGGGTTCGGTGAAGCGCGTATCGTCAGCATGATGCGGCCGGGATCGCTAGGGCGGGCCGGTTGAACAGTCGTTGCGATGCGAAGGGGGTTTGGTGAAGTGCGGATCATCAGCGTGATGCACGTATGAGCACCACCGTTAGCGCTCAGTCGACACGCCAGGGACCGTAGAGGTGGAGGAGAATACGAGAGAGAGAGAGACGGAGAGCAGGCACCTGTGAGCCGTCTGATTGGCCGCTGGCATCCGACTCCGCGCCATCCCCGCCGCCAACCCGAGGTAGGCTCCGGCCGCTGTGCTCCCGCCACAGCAAAATCTACGAGCGGAGAAAATGGCGGCACACGGAGGGGGGAAAGAAAGAAAAGACCTTCGAGTGAAATCACTTTCTCAAAAGTCGTTGCCACCACGACGCCGTCCGTCGATGATCCGAGCATTCACCGATTCACTCCCGGTCACTCGCTCGCTCGGCCGTGGCAATCGGCCGCCTCTTCGTCACTCGTCTATCGCTACGACTGCCGTGGCAACTTCTTCTCGTCATATTCCTCCACCCGCGTTGCACGGTTGGCATCGAGCAGTCTGAGAGAGGTTCGACGCCGGCCGTTTCCGTCTCGTCCACCACGCTGAGCTCAATCGCCACCGGCACTGCAGGCCACAACCGCCCACTCGCTCACCCCGCTCACCACACCCCAGGTCACAAGCACTTCTCATATCCGCTACTTCACTCTGGAATTGCCTCCTCCCATCACCACCATCGTCTCTTTCTCCCCCCAACGGCCCCACGGTAGCCACTCCGGCTGCCTTGTTGCTGCCCTTTCGCTGGGCCCCCTGCGATATGCCGGCGATCGATCGCTCGATCGCTCAATCGATTCGCTCGCTCGTCCACCCGCTCGCCCTCCTCACCTCCTGATTGGCCGCCGTCAGCTCCGCCTCCAGGGCCGCCACCCTCTCCAGCGCCACACGCAGACGCTCGCGCACCTGGCGCGCACAACGACACGCGCAACGTGCCGCCACGTGTCAACGCCACCGCAACGCGACGGCCGACGCGCGTCCCATCACGGGGTTCACTTCCCCCGTGCGGCCCAGCACCCAGGTGGGCCGAGTTCAATTCCCAGGATGGGAATTTATTTGTTCTTGTTGTTCTAAAGACGTGGACACGTTCACAGGCACGCGGCGCGAAGACGAAGCGAGCGAACCGATGGAGAACGAGCGAGCATGAGTGCGAGAGCGAGCGAGCGAGCGAGCGAGCGAGAGCTTCCACCTTCTCGTCCAGCGCCTTGTGGTGCTCGAAGAGCGACTTGAGAGCCTTGAGGACCTCCACCTCACTGGAGACGCCGGCGGGCGACTGCGCCTGCCGCTTCACCACCGTCATGCGCAGCGAGCGCTCGTGCCGCGACACCAGGCACTCCAGGTGCTCCAGCAGCAGCTGGTGAAGGAGGAGGTGAGATGGGGGGAGAGAAACGAGGAGAGGGGGGATCACCTCACACGCGCGTGGATTCTGAATGAGAATCTGAATCTTTATTAATACCGGGAGGAATCCGATGAGCTGTAAAGCTCTTTTGCACAGATGTCCAGTACGATGACGTCACCACGGCCAACGTCACTGACCACCACGACCACCAAAAAAAAGACTAAAGATCCCCCGTATAGCCTGTAACAGATTTTTGGAGCAAGTGCTGTTAGCGAACACCTATGAAGGCCGGCACGGCACACAGGGGGATGTGTGGCCAGCACCACGCCCGGCCGCCTGTATCTCCCCAGTGGCGATGATTTTTACACACCGCACCATGTATTCATTTGAGGCTGAGTCGACCTAGGGGAGACCCAGGGCCGGTTCAAATAATCGCTGTCACCGGTGTTGGCCGTGAGCGGGAATCGAACCTCGGGTCGCCAGGTTCATAGCGCGGCGCGCTGATCGCTCCACCACCACGACCACCACCACCACCACGACCACCACCACCACCACCACCGCCACCACGACCACCACCACGACCACCACCACGACCACCACCACGACCATCACCACGACCACCACCGCCACCACCACAACCACGACCACCACGACCACCACCGCCACGACGACCACCACGACCACGACCACCACGACCACGACCACCACCACGACCACCACCACGACCACCACGACAACCACCACGACCACCACGACCACCACCACGACCACCACGACCACCACCGCCACCACCACGACCACCACCTCGTCGCCAACGCTTCCTCCCCTCCGCCAGATCCCCACAAAAGATCTAAACATTTTGTGAAAGGTTCGCAGGTGGTCCCCGGTTCGACTTCCACGCCCGCCGCGGTGAATGCTCAAAGTACGAATCGCGGGAATCTTCTTTTTGTTTCTTCCGCGCACCACCGGCGTACCGCCAGTACGTTCACGTGTTGATTGTTGTCCACGTTGTTGTTGTTCCTGCTGTTGTTGTTGACCAATATCCGTCAGTGCCGCCCTTACCCGAGTGTTGTTGCGCTCCGCCTTGAGCTCCGATATCTCTTCGTCCTTCTCCAGCAGAGTTTCCCGGCACAAGTTTAACTCCTTGGTGAGCGCCGCCACCTCCTGCGAAACGCAAGAAACACGGGAGAGAAACCGACGGCAAACGCTGTCGTGTACAATATCACCACCGCGCCGGCTAATTTACAGGCAAGTAAACGGTTACGGGTGACATTGGTCGCGAAAGCCTTCGAGTTAAACTGTCAATTCCAAAGTGGAACGGCACGAGGGAAGAAGCAGAAAGAGAAGCGAGGTGACCTGCAGTGTGGTGAGTGGGTGGGTGGGTGAGTAGGTGAGTGTGTCAGTGGGTGAGTTAGTGAGTTGTGACCTGCAGTGTGGTGAGTGGGTGGTTGAGTAGGTGAGTGTGTCAGTGGCTGAGTTAGTGAGTTGTGACCAGCAGTGTGGTGAGTGGGTGGGTGGGTGAGTAGGTGAGCATGTTAGTGGCTGAGTTAGTGAGTTGTGACTTCCAGTGTGTAGCTGTTGAACAAAATATGGTGAGTGGATGAGTGAGCGAGTGCGTGAGCGTGAGTGGGTGGCTGAGTGCGTGGGTGATTGAGTGGGTGAATGGGTGAGTGAGTGAGTGAGCGTTAGTGAGTGGTTGAGTGCGTGAGTGAATGAGTGAGTGGGTGGGTGGGTGAGTGCATGGGTGGGTGGATGAGTGGGTGAGTCGGTGAGTAAGTGCGTGAGCGTGGATAGGTGGTTGAGTGCGTGGGTGAATGAGTGAGTGTTTGGGTGGGTGAGTGCGTGAGTGGGTGGTTGAGTGCGTGGGTGAATGAGTGAGTGGGTGGGTGAGTGCGTGAGTGGTTGAGTGCGTGGGTGAATGAGTCCGTGAGTGAGTGGGTGGTTGAGTGTGTGGGTGGATGAGTGAGTGGGTGAGCGTGGGTGGGTGGTTGAGTGCATGGGTACTTGAGTGGGTGAGTGGATGAGTGAGTGAATGAGCGTGGGTGGGTGGTTGAGTGCGTGGATGAGTTCAGGGAACGCGTCTTTGGGACCAAACCGCGACACGGGCAGCAGTGGAATGACGGGCGACTCTGGGGCAGCGGATAATAGAAAGGAGAAACCGGCGGCTGCTACCACCGCCGCCGCCGCCGCGTGTGGCAGCAGAGTGGAGTGGCTGATGGATCGCTATGGGGCCGTTTTTCTCCCGTTCTTAAGAGGCTCTTATGGACACCGTCGAGTTCACTGCAGCTTAAAGCGCCGTCGTTTACGAGCTTCCTCGTGGCCTCCTCCGCGCGGGGCATTTGCTTGAGGGATAAATGACAATCTCGTGCCAAATGAAAGGCGCGTGGGTTGTTGTTGTTGTTTTTTAGCAATTTACTACAGGACGTACGAGCTGAGCGGTCAGCACTGCTGCGCTACGAACCCCGGCAGCCCGAGTTCGATTCCCACCCATAGCCTCAAATGAGTACCCGGGTGCGGAGTTGCGTAGACGTTGCCACCGGAGAGACAAAGGCGGTCGGGCGTGCTGCCGGCCACCCACCGCCCCCTCGTGTGCCGTGCGGGCTTGCTAACAGCACTTGCCCATGCGGTCTGTTAAAGCTCTACGGGGGAACTTTGTCTTTGTGTACTTCAGTGCCCCTTGGCCGATGACCACATCACCTGGTATGCTTCCGATCTCATCAGATCTCAAAAAAGCTAAGCAGGCGTTGAGCCTGGATAGCGCCTGGATGGGTGATCGCCCATCCAGGTGCTATCCAGGTGTTACAGGCTGTTGCGGCAGGCAGAGGGCAGTCAGCGCAGACACACCGACTCGGACCTCTGTCTCTGTGGAGTTTGTATCAATCTAGATTTGAAGTTCTATATAGTATAGAGTTTGTATGTCCCACCCCCCTCACCCCCTGTTCTGCATGGCTTCTCGGGGTTTCCTCCCGGAGCTAAGAACACCATCAAAACGTCACGGACGTTGTATTCAGGAGGTCGTGTGTTCGATCCTGACCCTGACGCCTGCTGTATATTGGGAGTTTGCGTGTCTCTCTCTCTCTCTCTCATCATCATCACGGTGGCTAGGAGATGTTGACTACCTCGCCTGGCATACAGGAGGTCGTGGGTTGGCCCAAACATCCCAACGCAGCAGGAAACCTCTTGACAACAACAACGACAACGAAAATCAAGAGTCTTTGGACTCTTCGTTAAAAAGGAAAGAAAAGACGAGAGTCTCACCGCTGTGACATTGCTGGGTGCATGACTAATTACGACGCACGGGACCCGCAGGACAAAGGGAGACCCCCTCGTCCAGCAGCGGATTAACAACAAAGGGGGGGGGGGGGGCTTGCACGGAGCGCACCTTGCGTGCACAGCAGTGGGGGCACGTGCGGTGGGCAGCACTCGTGCCACGGGGCTAGCGGCGGGGATGCGATGAGGTCACGTTGCTATTTCGAGCCGGGGGCTGCCTGCTAGCCAAGCAGTCGGCGCTGTGCACCGCGCGTGCGTCTGCGCGTTCGCCTGCACCGGCGACTAAGAAGTGAATGAATCGATCGAATGAGCCGAGGAACGAGCGAGCGAGCGAGCGGGCCAGCGAGACAGCGAACGAACGAACGGGCGGATGCGCGGATGTTCCCGCGCGGTGACAGATTTAACGGCCAGATTAATGACCCTGGTGCAATTTTAATGACGGGGCGCGACTCATTATTGCATGGCAGAGATAAATAAATAAATAGCCACTCGAATGAGTTTTGGGGGGGAGGGGGGGGGAGAAAAACGTGATTCATCTTTTTCATCGGCGGTCAATTTCGCAGTGGACGCGTCTTCCTGTGGTTGGAGCGAACGCGACCAAGCCAAAGGTCCCCCGTGTAGCCTACGCACGCTGTTCGGGGCAAGTGCCGTCGGCGAACATCTATGAAGGATGTCACGGCGCAAGAGGCGGTGGGTGGGTGGCCAGCGCCACGCACCAAGGCCGCCTTTGCCTCCCCGGCGCTGCCGTTCACGCACCGCCGCACCAGGTACTCCTCCGAGGCCCGCGATCGATTCAGACACCGGCCACCGATGCGGGCAGTGGTCGGGAATCGAACTCGGAACCGACGGGGCTGGCAGCGCGGGGCGCTAACCGCTGCGCCGCCGCTCCCAGAATACTGGGCGAGTGCGGTCACGCGAACGCCTCTTGAGATCGAGAGAGCGAGCGGCGCGGCTCGTGGGGGGCGCCAGGTACCGACGCGAAAGCGATTTCGCGACGGAGCGACGGCCGCCGGTCGAGACTGCGGACGGAGCGGCAGCCAAAGTGGAGGAGACGGAGCGGCGCGTTGAGCTCGCGCGCAGGGGCCGGGCGGGTGGTCACGTCGCAGGGCGGCGGGGGGGCCGTGACGGGTTGCGGAGGGCTTCATCCAGCAGTGGATTGACCGCGGCCGACGTGCCCAGCTTACGTGTTGGGTCACGGAGCAGACACAACTTGTACGGTTGCTTGTGTTGCAATCGAAACGTCGTATTCAATTATTGAAATTTATTTCTTTCTACGTGACTTTACCGAAAGAACCGAAGAGTAAATTCCTGCAGTCACGAAAGCTTCACATCAAGTTTAAATATCTACCTTTTTTTGGGCGGTGGGGGAGCGGGGTGGGGGGGTTTAGGCACTGCACCACCCGAAACATGACTTTATGAACAGACATCTAAACGCTTGGACATTGTTCTGAAACCAACATTACAATTCAGCAACAAACACGGCTGTGTGCGTGTAATATCTAATGGCACGGTTTGTCACATTTAACGAGCGACACAGAGTCTGGGACAAGAAGATCGCTCGCACCCTGGGCGGTCAAAAAAACACAGAGGGAACAGAAATTCTCGGGACTGTCATCATCATCGGCAGGCATGATCTATCCACTACTGGATGAAAGGCCTCCCCCAAACCGCTGCTGCTTCTGGCGTCCCCGCTGTGCAACGGGTCCGCCGAGCTCCCGCGCACGAGCCCATGTCCCGCTCCATCTCCTACGCAGTGGTGGTGCCCTTTCGGCCGCGATTCCGATCCATGGCCGGTGCTCTGCTACCGGCCTCTCGAGCAGTCAGCCGATGTCCCTTCCCCGTAGCCGGGGCGCGCTCCTTTGCCCAAGCCCCCCCCTCCCCTTCCTTCTCCTCTCCCTGATGGTCTGAACGATGGCTCGTTGTCGACCGTATGGGCGTCTTCTAGCGCCCTGAGAACGATTTTTAAGGGCGCTTTCTAAATTTAAATCATTTTAATTCTTGGTTCTTTCGGTAAAGTCACATAGAAGGAAAATAATAAAATAATAAAAATCAAACATAAGATTAAATTCTCACGACGTTTCGGCCACAACGCAAGCAGCCGTCCTCAGGTGAAGAACAGGGCTGTCGGAAAGACGGCGTCCTAATGAACATCGCTAAGCTTGGCAGCGTATTTTTAAGCTGGGTTAGGGGAGGAAGGGCGCCTTGACAAAGGAATTTACATATCAACAGAGGAATTTAGCATATTCATGACAAATGCAGATATGGGATTAGTCACTACTTGTGGAATGTGTAGGTGGTGGGGGGTCTCAAAGTCATATTATGCTAGTGTATTATGTAGGATTAGCAGTGATAAAGGGAGGGAAATAGGATTAGCAGTAATAAAGGGAGGGAAATTTTAATAGCAAAGAGCTGCAGCAGCCAAACCACCGCGTATCAAGCTCGTGCATTGTGTGGACAACAAAAAATGAGTTTCTAAAGAACTACAAATACCAAGAAATTAAATAATTATTATTTTCATTAAACCGGCGTGTTTCCCCATTTCTGTCTCTCAATGCGAATTTTGCGAGCGGGCATCTCTCTCCGTTGCTTCTTTGCACACTTCTTGGTGTTTTAATTTTTTTTCTCTCCGTATTTGTTGACGCTTCACAAGCTACAATTTAGTTCCGTGTTAAGGATTGCTTCACAGGCCCTGCAATCCGATGGAGCGTTCACGATTCAAGGCCCGCGGTTCCAATCGAGGGGCGAATTTTTACGTCAAATGTTTGCCGTCTCATTCTGACCGTTTCTCTGGTGCATAAGTCTCATTTGTACCACTCTGGTCACCGCTGTTTTTCCTAAATGTAACACATTCCTGCGGAGGGAGCTGGTAGGAACGTTGGGTTGCTCGGTCAATGGTCAGGGTCAAAGGCGGCGTGGTGTATTCCGCAAATATGTTCGACTGTGAGGGCGGGCACAAGCCGGCGTGAGTAGGTTAAACGTTGAGTTTTATAAGGGCACCACGGGGTGACCAGCCACTCCCCACCCAGCCCCACAATAACCCTCCCCACCTAGCCCCTCCCCACCCTCCACACCCAGCCCCTCCCCTCCCCACCCAGCCCCTCCCCACCCTCCCCTCCCCACCCAGCCCCTCCCTCCCCACCCAGCCCCTCCCTGCACGACGGACGGACGGACACAATAATCCCCTGTGAGCTGGTGTAACCAGAGGTTCCTACCAGTAACACTCCAGTGCAATATTCTCAGATACCGCCCTGATAACTACTGTTTAAGGGCAATTTACAAATGTTAATTATTATAATCGATTCTCATGGACATGAAATCCATGCAAGTTATCGCGAGCGCATGAATCAAGTTCAGTCGATGAATCGATGGCTTCGTTCACACAACATGCGCTGACCCTGTTGATGAGACACCGCATGTCGAAACCGCGCCAGAGTTTTACTTGTCTGGAAATCTTAACGCTGCTGAAATCTGGCACTCCCAAAAGGCCGTGCAGCTTATCGGTTGGAAAGCGGATATTTGAAAAGACGTACGGTCTGCTTATTGTCATCCACGCGATCAAATCAAGACGATGATTGTGGTGGTGAGGATGATGATTTGATGATGGCGGTAAGTTAACTATGATAACTCTATGTAACACGATTTTTGCCCCATGGTAGTATTATTTTTTAATTGCTTATGCCTAAAAAGTATAGAAAATGGATATTCCCCGCAAACTTTGCTTTTGTACCAGGACTTTACGTGAAGGAATGACAAAATGCACAGCACGTTTTCTCATTGAAAATAGGTAAATTTCAAAATATCACAGAATTAATCAAATCTGATGTGCTCAATAAAAGTGGGTGGCTCGCATAAAGCAAATTAAACAGATCGAAAGGAAGCCACCCACTTTTATTGAGCACATTTGATTAATTCCGGGGATCAAAATAATTTATTTTCTACTTTTGAGTGCAGAGGAAAGTGCGTGCATTGAAAATCTAGTTTTTTTGACCGAATTATTTTGTGTAATTGTTGTTCTCGCAGCTAAGGAAGAGGGCAGCACAGCGGCCGCTACGGCGCCATGACGAGCGGCGATAGAAGCACCCCGTTCATTGGTCATTGGCTGGCCAGCAACAGCCGCTGTGATTGGACCATACTTTTTCCGTCATAGGGGGCGGTAAAACGTATGATTACACTGGTCAACAGCTGTTCTAGACTAATTTCAGGGTGCTCATTCCAAATCTGATCTCAGATTTGCTCTATCACATCTCATTTTTATGCTATCGGCATACCCCATTTTCATAGATTTTACCCGAAATTAACTATGTCACTTATGATTGCAAGTTGTTGCGAGTCAGTGCCTGCTTCAGTGTTAAAATACGGTGCTGTGTTTTTAGGATAGTGTTTTTATAATATCATTTCATGTAGATATCCACATTTATTTAATATTTTTCTTCTGCAGTTTTTTTATTGAAAATGCAATATTTGATATCTCAAAAACTTGACGTGATAGACAAAAACTGATGCCAGATTTGGAATCAGCACCCCAAAATTACAATCGTTGGAATACCTTATGCCAGAAAAGTGTGTGTTGATCAGTGTTATTAATTAGTAAATTTTTGTTTAAAAAATAAATAGGACCACGATGGTCGTGACCTGGACCGGTTTATTTTATTTCTTTACGAAATCTGGAATTGTCAAGCTAGGCGTGCGAGTCTGTGTCGAGAATTTCGTAGATCCGAAGATATTAAGCGTCAAAAGATTCCAAAGACTATGAAACAGACAACACGGAAAGTAAAAAAAAAGTGCGTGTTAAAAAAAGGTACAGCCGATGACCTAATATCGCTCTCAAACCTTCCTGACCACTCCAGCAGATACAATTATGCAAGACGGCACAGCCTTATATGAATATACACAGAGCCGATGCTGCTGCTGCTGAGAATGCAGCAGCTTGCTTTTGCTGGCTTAAGCCACACTAGGGGGAGAGTTTGGGGGGGGGGGTTGTCAGGAGGAGATGGGGGGGGGTGAATTATAGACTTACAAGATAACGCCGGTTGTAAAAGCAGCAGGGAAAATAAATAAAAGGAAATAAAATAACGGCAGAGCCCCCCCCCCCCCCACCACCGGTGGTAGAGGGAGGGATGTGGTGGTGGTGGACAAAATGAAATCAGAGGATTATCCACGGTGGGATTGCAAGCCCCCCTGATGAGCACGGGCGTGGGGGTGCAGGGGGGTGTACTTACACACGGACATGCCTGCACACGTGTGTAGACACACAGACACACAGACACGGACATGCCTGCACACGTGTGTAGACACACAGACACACAGACACGGGCATGCCTGCACACGTGTATAGACACACAGACACACAGACACGGACATGCCTGCACACGTGTGTAGACCACAGACACACAGACACACTGACATGCCTGCACACGTGTGTAGACAGACACACGCGGCCCCCCACTTCAGACCCTGCGCCCACATACACAGACGTACACGCCAAACGGACACAGTACACAGACACACGCGGACAACACATACAAACATCCCCCGTATAGCATTTAACTGAGTGTTGGGGCAAGTGCTGTTAGTGAGCACCTATGATGGCCAGCATGGCACACGAGGGGGTGGGTGGCCAACTCTACGCCCGGCCGCCTTTGTCTCGCCAGTGGCGATGCTTTACACACCGCACCAGGTACTCGCTTAGTCTGCGAGTTTTGGAAAGAATTGTGTCAATGCGTATGATTTGTTGGAAAACAAATTTGAAAGAAAAAAAGTCATTGGGGCAGGAGGAACTGGGGAATACCATTGTACATAATTCGGAATATTGAATAATTCGGCAAGGCCAGAACCCCATATGTGTCCACATTTACAATCAATAATGTGGCGTTGAGGAGTAATTTGGCTGCTAAAATGTCCATGTGATGGGCCAATTCGTTGAGCTGTCATTTGCGAATAGCCAGGGTCGCTCTTGACAAAGAGCTACACAGCTCAGTGGGCCTTACTTGGTTAGTTTAAAAAAAATGTTTGTTGCAGAGGTTTTCGTGGTTTGAATCTGGCAGGCCGCCCCGGTTATTACTGGGGCCGGAGAGATGCCGCAGTGGGGGGGGCGGTGTGGGGGGAGGGCGGCCCCGGTGTGGTTCGCGGGTGCCACCTGTGGCAGGGCGGCGTTGAGCTGGCGGTGCAGCGAGTCTCGCTGGTGCGTCACCTCCTGCAGCCGCAGCTGGGCTTGGGACAACCCCTCCTGGGACAATGGAGAGCAAGGCAGACCAAACACCAGACCGACAGGTTGGAGAGCAGACCAAACACCAGACGGACAGGTTGGAGGTCAGGCAGACGGACAGGTTGGAGAGCAGACCAAACACCAGACGGACAGGTTGGAGAGCAGACCAAACACCAGACGGACAGGTTGGAGGTCAGGCAGACGGACAGGTTGGAGAGCAGACCAAACACCAGACGGACAGGTTGGAGGTCAGGCAGACGGACAGGTTGGAGAGCAGACCAAACACCAGACGGACAGGTTGGAGAGCAGACCAAACACCAGACAGACAGGTTGGAGAGCAGACCAAACACCAGACAGACAGGTTGGAGGTCAGGCAGACGAACAGGTTGGAGAGCAGACCAAACACCAGACGGACAGGTTGGAGAGCAGACCAAACACCAGACAGACAGGTTGGAGAGCAGACCAAACACCAGACAGACAGGTTGGAGGTCAGGCAGACGAACAGGTTGGAGAGCAGACCAAACACCAGACAGACAGGTTGGAGGTCAGGCAGACGGACAGGTTGGAGAGCAGACCAAACACCAGACAGACAGGTTGGAGAGCAGACCAAACACCAGACGGACAGGTTGGAGGTCAGGCAGACGGACAGGTTGGAGAGCAGACCAAACACCAGACGGACAGGTTGGAGAGCAGACCAAACACCAGACCGACAGGTTGGAGAGCAGACCAAACACCAGACAGACAGGTTGGAGGTCAGGCAGACGAACAGGTTGGAGAGCAGACCAAACACCAGACGGACAGGTTGGAGAGCAGACCAAACACCAGACGGACAGGTTGGAGGGCAGACCAAACACCAGACAGACAGGTTGGAGGGCAGACCAAACACCAGACGGACAGGTTGGAGGTCAGGCAGACGGACAGGTTGGAGAGCAGACCAAACACCAGACGGACAGGTTGGAGAGCAGACCAAACACCAGACGGACAGGTTGGAGAGCAGACCAAACACCAGACAGACAGGTTGGAGAGCAGACCAAACACCAGACGGACAGGTTGGAGGTCAGGCAGACGGACAGGTTGGAGAGCAGACCAAACACCAGACGGACAGGTTGGAGAGCAGACCAAACACCAGACGGACAGGTTGGAGAGCAGACCAAACACCAGACAGACAGGTTGGAGAGCAGACCAAACACCAGACAGACAGGTTGGAGGGCAGACCAAACACCAGACGGACAGGTTGGAGGTCAGGCAGACGGACAGGTTGGAGAGCAGACCAAACACCAGACAGACAGGTTGGAGAGCAGACCAAACACCAGACAGACAGGTTGGAGGGCAGACCAAACACCAGACGGACAGGTTGGAGGTCAGGCAGACGGACAGGTTGGAGAGCAGACCAAACACCAGACGGACAGGTTGGAGAGCAGACCAAACACCAGACAGACAGGTTGGAGAGCAGACCAAACACCAGACGGACAGGTTGGGGGGCAGGCAGACGGACAGACGGGCAGGTGACACAACAGACAGGTGAACGCAGGCAGGCGCGTGTGGGTGTCACCGCAGTGCTCTGCACACAATACAAAGATCCCCTGTGTAGCCTTAACAGACTTTTAGGGGCAAGTGCTGTTAGCGAGCAGCCGGCACGGCATATCGAGTGAGGTGGGTGGCCAGCGCCACGACACGTTTTTACTCCCCGATGGCAATGTTCACACACCGCACCAGGTACTCAATCGACGCTGAGTCGACCCAGGAGAGGTCCAGAACCGACTCAGATATTCGTCAGTGTTATTGGTCGTGAGCGGCAATCTAAATTGGGTCGCCGGGTTTGTAGCACAACGTGCTAACCGCTGCACGAACTCTACCCCACTGACACAACGGCCGCCATTTGCCACGAAGCGTCGGTGATGTCACCACGGCGCCTTTGCCAGGCCAGTTGCACTTTGAAGCCACGTGAAGTGTCGAAGGCTCGCTGACAGGAGGTTACGGGACAGACCCAGGTGTCATGCGTTGACCGAGATGACTGGCAGATGCACCAGCTGACACACACACTGATACAAAAAATAGATCCCCCGTATGGCCTTTAACTGACTGTCAGGGCAAGTGCTGTTAGCAAGCACCTATGAAGGGGGTGGGTAGCCAGCACCAGGCTCAACCGCCATTGTCTCCCTAGTGGCGATGTTTACACACCACACCAGGTACTCATTTGAGGTTGAGTCGACCTAGGGGTGACCCAGGACCAGTTCAGATAATCGTCACCGGTGTTGGCCGTGAGTGGAACTCAAACTCGGGTCGCTGAGTCCGTAGCGCAGCGCGCTGACCGCTCCACCACCGCTCCTACACACTGACACACGCACTGATGCACACACACACACCGACACACGCACTAACGTACACACACACTGACACGCGCGCACCTGCGCGCCCCTGAGCGTCTCGAGCAGGCGGTCGCGCTCCTGCAGCATGCTGCTCATGAGCCGCTCCAGGCTCGCGTCCTCCCAGCCGTTCTGCGAGCCTCTCCGCGGGGCCGGCACAGGCGCCCCGGGGGGGCCCGTCGCCGACCCCGCCGCGACGACAGGGTCCCGACGATGACTGAGGACCCCGCTGACGAGGACGACGCCGGCCCTCCCGGCGGCGCCGTCGCCCCCGCCGCCGTCGTCGCGGCCGAAGAGGAGGAGGAGGACGACGATGAGGCCGTCGTCGTCAGTGAGGAGGGCGCGGGGTCCTCGGAGATCGTGGGCATCACCTGGCGGCGGGAATGGAGCCTGCGTTAGGCCTCGGTCGCCCGGCAAAGCGGCCGAGCACGCTCGCCACGTCGCCATCGCCGGCCATGGTCTATCCACAGCTGGATGAAGGCCTCCCCCCCTCCCCAACTCACCAAGCCGTCACCATGGTCTCGCGACGCAACGATCCGTCGAGCTTCCACACGCGAGCGCATTCGTCGCTCTGTCCATTATCACCATTTCAATGTTTTGTTGTTGTTCCATCATTGCGCTCGTCGAAGCAAGAAAGCTTCACCGAGCTCGTGACTCTTTCACAGGAGGGTCCGGCCAAGTTTTCGCGGTGGCGCGGCGGCAGCTGCTACGCACGATCCAAATCGAGCAACTCGCGCGGCAATTCAGTCAAGTTTGACAAAATGTGAACGTTTGGAATTTTTTTTTTACAAAAATTACACCGCCATTTACTCATTCGGTTTACACACAGCAGCAGAGTGGCTCCCTGCCGACAGACTTATACGATCTTTGAAACAGCACCTCAGTGATAGCCACAGGCTCTAAGAATGGCGCGAATACCAAATGTACTCAATTATTATGAATGATCATCGTTATTATTATTATTGGAACGTGGAATTTCCACCACTTGCTCGGGGTTGTGAACAGCAAAAGAGCGCCGCCTCTGAACGCTGCACATCTCCGAGCGGGAATTCACCCGCAGACTTTTGCCTCCTGACACCGACGAGGGGGGAGGAGGACGAGGAGGAGGGAGAAGGCTGCAAAGGGTGCGAGAGAGGAGACGTCTCACCTCGCACATCATGCCTGCAGGTGCAAGGAGAGACACCGCAGTGGTGGGGAGGCTGTACGTGCCGGCAGAGACTGACGCGGCGGAGATCATGCCACCACCATCATCGCCAGGAGTGCCATCGCGTCAGCCTCCCTTGCCTCCCTCCTTTGCCCGCCCGGTCGCCGGCCTGTCCCTCTGTTCCGTCGACCGCTTCCGCTGTTGTGCGATCGGCCGTTTGGTCACTTGTCCGCCCGCCCGTTCGCCCGTTGTTCGATCGCTTCGTCGCTCGAACCAGCTCCGACGATTACCCTGCAGCGACTCGTCGGGGCCTCGCGTTCGTTCGCCCGTTCGTTTGCGAGCGAGCGAACCGACGCGCGGATCAGCGGCCCGCTTGATCCCGCGTCGCCTGAACGTTCGTTCGCCCTCTCCTCTCGCGCGCGCGTTCCCCCGTCCGCTCGTTCGTGTCGCTCGCTGGCTCGTCCGTGCATCCGCACGTTTGACTGCCCCCTCCGTCGGCTTTGCTCCTTATCCTCGTTTGCTTGCCCCGTGGAGATTGTCAGCGTGTCCGTTTCACTTGGTCGTCCGCTCGCTATCGTTCGACTGCTTGTTGGTTCGTTGGCTCCGTGCTGTGCAGCTGATTAGCCGCCCTCCCTAGCAGACAAAAGAGAAGATGGGGAGAGAGTGAGTTGATAAGGGATAAGTGAGTTGGTGGGTGAGTGAGTTAGTGGGTTGTTGGGTGAGACAGTGAATGGGAGGGTGGGTAACTGAGTGAGTGGATAATTGGATGAGTGAGTGAGTGGGTGAGTTAGTGGATGGCTACATAGGAGGGTGGGTAAGCAAGTGAGTGAAGAGATGAGAAAGTGAGTTAGTGAGTAGGTGAATGAGTGAAATGGCAAGCAGGTGAACAGATGAAAGAGTGAATGAGAGGGTGGGTGAATGGGCGAGTGAGTGAACAGGGGAGTGCAGGGGTGAATGAGTGAAACGAGCAAAGTGAGTTTGGCGACTGAGTGAGTGAGTCAACAGATGAGCAAGTGACTGAACCCGCGAACGAGTGAGTGACCGAACGAGTCAATTGGCGAGCGTTTGAGTGAAACGGCGGTTAAGGATGTTGACACAAACGCGGCAGAATTAACGATCTAACCTACTCCCCGGCCATCGAGAGCATCCATCACCCGGCAGGGAAAAACAATAAAACAAGCGCGCGACAAAACAGGAAAACACTTCCCAGTCGTAGCACGGGTTCGTCGGTTCCAGAGGGCGAACTTCTGCAAGGCATTGTGGGCACCTGCTCACGATGCCGCGCGACCAAAACACCCCTTTTCCCATCGAGCGCGTTTTATTTATTAGACGGCGGTGGATCGATGGCGATACGTAGCCACGTCCCGATAATCGATTGCGGAGAGCCCGCGCCCGTTTAATTAATCCGGCCGCCTCCTAACGAGGCGCGCTAACGAGACGGAGGAAACGGGGCGCGAGAGACGCGGTGCCCCTTGAGCCTGTGGCGCACGCGACCGAGAAGCAGACCCGCGTGCGGCTCAGAGAAGCTCACCTCAAGCTCACCGGTGAGCCGAGCATCGGTGAGTTCGAACGCTTGGCTCACCGCGTGGCAAATTTCACTCGTTGGGCCACGTCGGCTGGTGGAGGGAACGTAACGGACCCCCGCACGGAGACAAAGATCACCCGGCAGAGCCAGGCCGCTTGCGGGCAAGCGCTGTCGGCGAGCGATTTAGAAGGCAGCCGGCAGGGATGGGTGGCCAGCACCGCGCACAGCCGCCTTTGTCTCCCCCGTGCTTAATGTTGACCACGCACCGCACCAGATACTCATTTGAGGCTGAGTCGAGCCAGGGGAGGCCCAGGAACGATTCAAATATTCCTGAGCGGGAGTCCAACTCGGGTCACCGGGTTGGGAGCGCAATGCGGCAACCACTGCACTAAGCGGCGGTGACGTCACCACGGCGCTCGTGCCAGGCTAGGTGCACTCCGAGGCTCGTGCCAGGCTAGGTACACTCCGAGGCTCGGCTGGCAGGTCACACACTCGCACGTGAGAGCACACACTCCAGTGTTTAGAGTATTGTTTTTTTCTATCATTCGTTCAGCAACCCCCGCACCAAGATGTAATGACGATATAGAATTTGTCGCTGTGAATTACAATTATCGTGCACACACAAACACACAATTGAGTGTGCACACCCAGACACGCGCGCGCGCACACGCGTGCACTATTCCTGCGCGTTCCGATTCAAACGCGGACAAGTCGAGGCCAGACGGGAAAATTGATATCCCCTTTTGAAATTTATGGTACGCACGAGCGTGTTATATCTCTCGAGTAGTGTCGCGTGTATAGGAATGACACGCAGACAAAGATTCTCCCCCACCCCACCCCCCTCCCGTGTAGCCTTAGCAGACTGTTGGGGTAAAGTGCTTTGAGCGAGCACCCTATGTAGGCCGGCACAGCACACGAGGTGGGGTGGGGGTTGGATAACACACCACGAACGGTCGCCTTTACAAACTCGAAAATGTTGAGGTTACTCATTTCAGGCGGAGTCAACCTAGTGGATGCCCAGGACCGGTTCGAATATTGCATCACCGATGTTGGTCGAACCCTTGAACCGCTACACTACCGCTCCCCCCGCCCCACACACACACACGCACATATACAACAGCCTCCGTGCGTCACTACGGCGCTCGTGCCAGGCTAGGTGCACCGTGAGGCCACGTGAACGTGTCGAATGCTCGCTGCATTCGACATGAGGTCACGGGACAGACCCAAGGTGACGTGGGTTGACTGACCGAAACCACTTACGCTGATCCAGTCTGGTTGAACCCAGGGACGGATCATTCACTGGCGAGCCGGAAAGTTTCAAGTTGGCGCAGGGTGTTTCTGTAAAAGGTGGGGTTCCACGTTTCGCAAGCGCAGAGAAGGGGACATCATAGCAACCGTGGCTGAGAAGAACTTCAAAGTGACGGAGAGATCAGGCAGCTTCCACTCAGCGTCACCCGCGCAGCCGATCGACAGATAATGCCGCTCGACACATTCAGGGCGAGCACCTCCGCTGCCAAACAAACTCCCAGCTGGGGCTTTGAGCAAAATGTGCGGGTACAATCTTCTCTCGAACCACTCCATTACCTCGTGCAGAGTTGAGGGGGGTGGAGTGGCGGCTGATGTCTTGACAAGCCGTGCCCCCCCCCCCCCACCACCTTGACCAACTCGCACTGACCAGCGTGAAGAATTGTGGTCAAACCATCGACCACGTGAACTCCGGGGTCATCCTCGCAACAGCAGCAGAGGCTCTTTGGGTCAACCATCGAATAAAAGATGGCCATCGCATCGCTCGCTTCTGCGGCCGTCTGGCAAAGCGCTCTTCATCATGCCGATATTAGGGATCCACTGGGAGACGTGCACTTTCAAATCGTCTCGATGGACAAAACTCATTTCTTTTCAACTGCTCTTTGTGTTCACAGTTCCTATGACCACTGTTTCATCGCTTTATGGCTTTATTTTGGTGATTTTACGAAAAGTTTTCTGGTTTGGCCGTGTTTGTTTGTTGTAGTACGGAGTTAGACTGATGGCCTTAATCTAAGTTGTCTTGTGGTTGTTGTTGTTTGACTTGCATCCCACTGGGATATTTGCACAGGGTTGGTGTACGGTGATTGTTCTGCAATATTTTGCTGTCTTTTCTTGGATTTTCTGTTTGCACATAGTCACTTTAAGATGTTTTCTTGTTCATGTTTTTGTTTTTTGTTTGTTGCGGTTGCACCCGATTCAAGAGCCGAATGGCTCACAGGGCTATGCCTAATAAATGAACTTGAAACTTGAACTTGAACTTGAGACCCATTGAGACGTATTATTACGTCGACTGGGACGGGCAGTTGGTCGGTCGTTGACCGAAACCTCTCCCTCTCTGGAGGTCAAAAGTCAGTTGGGCCACCACCGTCTGAGACTTCCCCACAAAGTGGTCGCAATTTTATCGACCCCAGAAGGTGGAGATGATAGGCCTAGTCAACCCCCCCCCCCACGCCTTACCCCCTCCAACCAGGA